CCTGGGTGTGCACATTGATGCCCAGTTGCGATGGAGGGTACAGGAGAATGGGGCTTTGGCGAAGGCTACGTCATATATCATGATGTTCCGTCGACTAACCCGCGCCAACATAGGTATTCGACCAAGGCTCATGCGACTACTGTACATCTCGGTGGCAGTCCCCAAGATGACTTATGCGTTGGACGTCTGGTTTGTGCCTCCGCACAAGAAGGAGGGCAAACGGAACAACAGCGGGTCAGTAAGGGCGCAGAAGGCAATGGGTAAGATACAGAGGATAGCGACGAAGGCGATCACAGGAGGCCTGTGGACCTCACCGAACGACCTGCTGGATGCACATGCCGGGGTCCTCCCGGTGAACCTCATGCTCGAGCGAATATGTCACTCGGCCATAGTCCGTACCGCGACCCTACCCGACAGCCACCCCCTTAGGGCCATGATACGCGGATATAGCAAGACTCCGGCAAAAACTCACCTTTCCCCCCTACAGAAGCTACTAGAATGCTTCAAGATCAAGCCACGGCGCTTCGAAACAATCAAACCAGACCCACGGCCTCCGACGTACAAGAGGGCCTTCACAGCAACGATCGCAAGTTCAAAAGAGGAGTCGATAAAAGACGAGGCAAAGGACAACTCCAACATCAAGATCTACACCGACGGTTCAGGGTTCGAAGGAGGGGTAGGGGCCGCGGCGGTCCTCTACAGGAAAGGGGTCGAGGAGCCTGAAAGAATCTTACGTTTTCATCTAGGTTCACTGAAGAAGCATACCACCTTTGAAGGGGAAGCGGTCGGTTCGATCCTCGCGGCATGGATGCTACAAGATCAACCAGAGGTAGGAAGATCGGCAATCACCAGCTACACAGACAGCCAGGCCTTCATAAAGGCGACGAACACGAGGAAACCGGGCCCAGGCCAATACCTGGTAATGGGTTACCTGGGCCTTACAGAGGTTATGGGTGATGGAGCTGACATCCCAGGTCCTGCAGGTACCGACAAGTTTGCGCTCAAGTGGGTGGCGGCTCACATGGGGGTGAAGGGGAATGAAAGGGTAGATGAAGAGGCGAAGAAAGCAGCACAGGGCGACTCAAGCCCACAGGAGGAACTGCCCCCGATACTTCGCAAGCGCTTGCCATACAGCGCGTCGGCGGTGAAGCAGGAGTTTGCAGAGCAGCTAAAAGTCAGATGGAAGAACGCGTGGAAGGAATCACCACGATACGCCAGGTTTCAACACGTTGACAAGGACTTCCCCTTCAACAAGTTCCGGAAAATCAGCGACAGGCTTTCCAGGCCTCAGGCAAGTTTACTAACACAGATACGCACCGGCCACATACCGCTCAACAGCTATCTCCATCGCATCAATAAGTCGACCACCGAGCGTTGCGCATCATGCTGGAGTAGGGAGCGATGGGAAATCACGGAGACGGTGGTGCATTTCTTATTTGAGTGTCAGACATACGCGGCAGAGCGATATGATATGGATAGAGTGCTGGGTCGTCACTCAAGGGATCTCCGAGGAATCCTGGCGAGTTTGGACAGGGTCAAGGAGCTGCTCAAATTCGTGGGGAGGACGGCCAGGCTCAAGACAACGCTTGGAGACACACTAGGTGATGTATCTCACTTAGAAAATGAAGAAGATTAACGGATAACACATGTTTTCAGGAATCTAGCTACCACGGCACAGGTTTCAACAGAATAGCTGGCCCCAGCCAGCAGGCTCGCCCAAAACACCCCCCCTCTCTCTCTCTCACCCGCCTCTCAGTCTGCGGACCTCAAGCAGAAGACTCCCTCTCTCAACAGATACAAGATTCACACCGGAAACGCAGGAAGACAGCTACGCACAAACACCGAGACATATGTCTCCACCTGATCATGCTCGTCCCATCGACTGTGCCTGTCGCTTCGCGATCGGGTACTTAACAGGCCGAAACACTACCAAGATGGATTGCACAGATAAGCAAGAAGACGAGACTACCCCGCTTACCTATATGGATGTGCCCCAAAACGGCGTTTTTGTGCCGGGCTGGATGGGGGAATGTTCGCTGTGGGCGTGCCCTCACCAGTGCATGGGGCAATCTCAAGGGGGTCAGGAATACATGGCATTAGGGGCCATAGGTAGTCTACAAAAAGTTGTAAAGTCTGACATAGGGCCTCGCCCTAATAGACTCTAAATTTGACTCGAAAAAAAAAAAAAAAAAAAAAAAAAAACGAGTATAGCCAGAGTCAAGGCTTGGATTTGTGTTCGGAATCGCATGATAAATCGATAGGGGTGCAGTGAGGGTTCAAGCGGGAGTTGCTTTGATAACATGAGAAGCTTCTAATCCCTTCAGCGCAGTATATCCAACAATTCGTCGGAGAATCGTAGATAAAGACGAAGATTGTAGTCAGCGAGAATCTTGTGATGGTTGATTGTTCTAGGTCTCGACACGAACTTGGCTTTGAGTTATTGTTCGACTGCTTCGTGTCCCGTGAACGCGATGCGTGTCTTCACAACCTCACCTTTTCGACGCTCGGGAAATTTTTTCAGCGCCCCTCTGGTTACATTTCGGGCACCCCTCGTCGAATCAGTCGGAATAGCCAATTTTATCGGACATATCTTTGCAGCAGACCTAAAGAGTACGCGGGACCGATAGGGATTCGGAAGCAGTTTTAACCCCACAAGCGTCTGGAAAGGCGGAGCGAGTACGCTGTGTTTGATGTGACTGCTGGCATGCCAGGAAGCGAAAGGAGCGCCATGAGTGATCTCCTAAGTACTGCACAATGCGCCTTTCCTATGTTTAGAGTTAACTGAAGTCCATTCCGAAGTTCTTGGTTGTTGTGAGTAGTATAGCCTCACGACGAAGCTGAGCAAAAATTCAGCAGATAGTGTTGTGAGATCGGGCACTGTCGCTGACTGTTACGGAACCACCTCAAATAAATTCCTCTGGTTCGAAGCTGAGACTGAAGCTTGCGAAATATCCGTAGCGTAGATCCGGCCTACCCCGCAGAAGGTAGCAATCATTCCCTAACGGAGCGAATGATAAATTCGGAGCATGATAATTACGAAAGCGGAAGCGCCTCTAAAGCAACAGTTTCATCTTGAATAGTTAGGTGATCCATTCAAACTTGGGCGTGGAATATGTCAGGAGGCGTAGGCACGTACTAACGGCCTGATCTTTTCGTATACTTTGTCAGGCTTTCTCTCGGTAGTGCGCATAGCCAGGGGGACTTCGAAACGGGACTGATCAAATATCTTGCAGGAGAGTGATAGAAGACCGACAGAAGCGAGACGGTCATCGGCGGCAGTCGGCAGAAAGCGATAGGAAAGCGGGAAGCGAGTGGCAGACTGTAAGTATAAGAACCTGTAGAAGAGCGGTGTCAATAGTTATTCCGCGGCTGTAGGATGGATTACTCACGCAAGTCAGAGACCTATAGATCGCGGCAAGCCGTTGTGGCTATAAGTTGCACGAAAGCAGCCTGAGGTAGAGCAGCCTATTTGCTGAAGGGACACTTTTCCAAGAGGACTGGCAGAGGGACTCGGGGAGTACTAGGTGATGGAGGTTCGTAACAACTCGAATGTGAGGCGGTAAACAAAATCGGGACCACGTGAGAGGACGTGACACGACGCGCATGTCACGAGGTCAACCAATCTCCCTCTCTGACCTACAGTAGGGACTGTCATGGATACACCCGGGTATTAACCGTACCCGATCCACGGATTTTCCCACCCACAGATCAGATAAGGCACATTACGGATATATCCGTGGGTAAAACGGCCTGAGTGGCTGAGGACATAGCTTCAGTTATATAAATGAGTGTATCTTGTTCATTTCTTGTCTGTTCTTTACAAAAAAAATTGTGTTATGAAGCGAAAATTCAGAAGAATTCATATTAAAACAAAAGTCATTCATATATGATCTAGATTGAGTACAGTAAAACTAAAGTTATTTATATATCATAATCTGAGGTCTTTCCCTTTATATAATGCTGCTGTAACTGAGCCTTGATCACAGAGTGTGTTTTGGGGTGTGTATTAGCATGCCTTGGCCATCTTGAGAGTATTTATTTTCAGTTTCAGAGAAATGCCTTTGAGAACAATTGATATTTATGTAGAGGTATTGAAAGAACAATTTTGGTGACATAAAGTGTTACAAAAAGAAATCATTGTCCATCTTTTTTTCAATCATTTGCATAACTTTATTGAAGCCTGGGTAGAGGGGGGATTTAATCCAGGATCTGAGAGCCATTTCCGCTCTGAATGTTTGAGAGTTAATATTGTGCTGGGTGAAATTGATCTGACGGTGGCCAGTGGAAAATGCTCGCTCTGCATCCACAGAAGTAGCTGCAACAATTGTTGAAAATAAAGGAACATAAGTGTGAATAATGGTGCTTACCTGGGGCTGAGCAGAAATCAGAACCCATTCGTGAGAGTTGTGGTCAGGACTGTGATGCATTGTGCCAGTACATCATATAACCTCCCATTTCCTTGATTGTTTCTGTTGCTACCCTGGGTTCATCAAGGTAAGCCTGAATGTGGTCCTTGACAAACTGATTTTCTTTTGGTGCATATTGTGATTGCTTTGGCTAAAAATTGAATTCAATAACAGGATTTAAAAGATATTTTTACCAACTACCTTGTTTTCCTCCCCTCTTAGCTCATTCTCCTCTTCACCTGCATATACACTGTCTCAGTAATCGCATACTATACTTTTTATAGACTTGATTTGTTGGACGTCATGACCATGGTCTTGAAACCATTTGACACTTGAGACAGCGACAAATATGTAGGGCTACATATGTAGAAACATATGCTCTCAAAACTGCAGGATATACTGTAATCTCTTTTGTTCTGATATATTTGCTCTCAATTTCTAAGTTTGGTGATGGAATTGTACATCCATCATATGCATAAAACAAACTTACAATAACAAAAGGGATCAGATCCAAAAAATGAACAATTAAATATAATCTGAATTCATACAGTCATCCACCTGCTAATGATACACCCAAAATGAGAAATTAGCTTCAACAGATTTGAGCACAACCTTTCTCTACAGAAACTACATGAAAATCTCTGATAAATGCCCTTCTATGACCATACCAAATTTCAGAATGTTTGACCCACATTTCACAGAGAAAAACTAAGATTATGGGTGTATCATTGAGGGGTGTGACTGTATTTGGCTATTCCTGAAAAACAGTCCATTTTGTATGCTCCACAGCTTTGCCAATTCTGCCTCAATTGTATCCAAATTATGTACAGTGGTAGATATGAGTTTGTACTATGTGTTACAACTTGTTTTGTGAGAATTGGTCTAGTATTGAGCAAGATATTTGCTAGTCAAAAGTGTATCAAATGGGGGTGGTGTATCATTAAGGGGTGGATGACTGTATTCAGAATACACTAAAATCTTGGCCCAGGAAGTTCAGCATATTCTAAATATGAGTTTAGATCATATTTATTCATTCATTTTTTGGACCTGATCCCTTTTTCTATTGTAAGTTTGTTTTATGCATATGATGGATGTACAATTCCATCACCAAACTTAGAAATTGAGAGCAAATATATTGGGGGAACACTGGTTTTGGCCTATTCTGCAGTTTTTATTGCCTACACTTAAAATATCCCAAAGAGGTCTAAAAATATATAATTTACCCACGGATACCTGCGGATAGTCCGGGTAGTTACCCGAATCCATCAGTTGAGCCCAAATATGGGTGGATTTCGGGTTCACCCGGGATTAGCCTATCCGTGACAGTCCCTAACCTACAGTAACACTGTACAGTTGATTCACTGTGGCTCATCCCATGTGTTGCCGTGGGCCTTGCCTGTTCCTCTAGCTGGTAAATAAATGCAGAGGCATTCACCCTGCGACAAAGTCTTCAATCGCAGTGATTAAAGTACGGCTCCCCACTCGCCCTGGGATGTCTTTCCTCTTCCGCTGATATCTTTATATAGGCAAATCTGAAAGAGAGCATGTTGCCAGCCGTTCGCACAAAAATACACTGGGATCAGGTTCTCAACACTGCTTCGTCGCTCAGAGACCAATCTTGCGCCTCTTCGGACCGCCACGAGTTCTTCGGCACATCGTTTACCGCATTGCATTTGAGGATGACACATGCTGGGCAACTTAATATCTCTTACGAAAACATTCCTGTCGAGACGATGCGATACGTCAAAAACATTTTGCCTGAGACGCCAATTGCCACTTGGTCGGACAGCGAGGATGGCGATGGAGCAGGTCGGTCAGTACATGTTCTTGAACTGGGTCGAGGGCAAGACCCTAAAACTTCCACTGGAACGCAACCTTTCCAGCCCGCAGATTTTTTGGCACACACCCGACCAAATAAACACGCGGCTATAAATAATCTGTAGAGCTCTTCATTCGTCGCTCAGATTCAAACCACCACCACCACCACTCCTGACTAGCTCTCGCCTTCCTCTAATTCTCCTATGGATCTCGCCTTTCCTCGGATGTTCGCCTCCTCATGCCACTCCTCATGCCTAGTAAGCCACACAATCTCGCCAGCTTCCACGCAAGCTGATTCTTCATGTCAGCCACTCACGCCCAATGCTATTTGATTTCAATAATCTCGACGTAATCTCACCACCGCAACATCATCGCTTCCTCAACGCTCAGCGCATTACAGCCTAGGCGAGCCAACCATTCCCGTTCCCCAAGTCAGGTATCGCCACGGTCACATCTCCTATTGTGTGGTGGCCATGAGCCTAAGCGTAGTAAAGTAGCCGCATCCCTTGCCTGGGTGTGTAATCGATCCAAGTATTGGGGTGTTGGCGTGGCCCCTCCCGTCAGGGGGGCCGGAGTGACACACCATCTGCCAGGACTGCCACTGGATGAAGGTTGACTTGGTTTCAACATGGTGCCCAAGTGGCTTTGTCTGTCTTGCGGCGCGTTTGGTCTCATCGATGCACGGTGCTTTCAATTCTGGGTGAGTCCAATTTAACCATTCACTTGACTCTGTTGCCTTAACATTTAACATCCAGCGGCGTCTTTCATCCGACGGCGATCTTTTCTCTAAGCGTGGTGTTTTTGACTTGGCGGGCCCATGCGCTTATTGTAAGCTCTATCCTTATTATTCTTTTGTCAGCCAACTCACAAGCATCCTTCGTTGCCACCAGCTCGTCCCCTCACAGACGCATTGAGCAGGTACCCTTTCATTTACAGAACAACCACTCGCTGCGCCACACATGTCCTAAAGCATCCTGGGTACTGGTGTTACCCAGGTGTGGAAAGTCGCCCCTTCATGGGGGCGTGGGCAGGCAGATGCGTGATTGCACACCTGGACGATTGTTGGGGGCCTTCCTCGAAGGTCTCAGGCATCATCTCACCAGACGTGGCACCGCTGACAACGGTGAAGCGGCGGTTGGTTGTTTTTGTTGTTGAACTGGGTATTCAAGATGCGGATGCTTCAACTCTGGTGAGTGTGGCCCTCCCATTTTTTTTTGTAAGCTTATATTTTCCTTTTCAGCAGACTGTCATGGGCTCATGGCTTGCTTGCTCGTTTTTTATTCAACTTCTGACCAATTCATCCTGGGGTTTGACAGTTATATGAGCGTCATTGTGATTTTTTCCTGACAAGTTGTTTCCAGGGTTCCACTCCAAACACCTCCAACCGCATCTCTACGCGCTTTACCTTTGGCCAGCGTGGTATGTATTCTAGATGGATAATCTTTCTTGTGGCACTGATCTTGAATTTTTAATTTGCATCTTTAAATTTTAGTTCACCCTCCTACATGTGTCCATCGCCCATTTTTTTATCTTTCCCTTATCCTCCTTTTTTTATTTATTTCACGACCATCACGCATCAGCAAAGACTTAATAAAACAAATCATCTTGTCGCAATCTATTTCGCCTTGTCAATGAAGCCTTGGAACATATGCTGTAGTTACATTCTTGAAAGTCTCTTCAACGGCGATGCATTAGAATATCAAGGAAGGCTCCATTGATCGGTCTCGGAGATCCAGGCGCTTGAGAATGTGCTGAGTGTAAGTGACACCTTAAACAAGGGACGATCGGGCAGTTAAGCGAAGCCCTTGACGGATTCCGTGACAAAGTAATCATTTTTGCATCGGTTATGTAATTACAACAAACCTATGGGAAAGTTTTTATTGTGACAGTATGTCTGCCAATTGTTCAAGGGGGCTGACAGAATAGAAACAATTAATGTGCTTATTGTTTAAATTTTCCCATAACTGTGTTACCTAGGCAAAGCTTTGCTAAAAATAAAAGTTTTTCCTATTGCCAAAGAGACAGACTGAATTGTTCCTGGAATTCGTTACATTTACAAATTTTAATTCTTACCAGCCTTTTGTCCTGTAGATGTACCTCAAGACACATTTTAAAAATAGTAACAACATTTTTTTTACATCTGGATGTCACCTTTGCAAAATAGGCAAACATGCTGTCAAAATAAAAAAATTCCCATAAGTCTGTTTTAATTACATAAGAGGTGCAAAAATGATTAGTTTGTCATGCAATCTGTCAAAGGCTTCGCTTAGCTACCCGATCGTCCCTTGTTTAAGGTGTGAAGGGCTCTCCTCTCTTTTCAAATTCTTAAGTAGTCACTAGCATATGTAGTACATATTTAGAGAACTTGCATGGCTAACTAGCTCAGCTGGATAGAGCACCGTGCTCATAAACCCCAGTGAAAATTGACCCTGTGCAGATCGGGTTTCTCCAGATCAAATCGATATATTTGCCAATTTCCGGCCATCTCCCCTGTTCAGATCGGGCTCCACCGATCCATTTGGCCATTTTTTAGGGTCGATTTTCACTGGGCATGAACAGTGACACGGAGGTCCTGGGTTCGATCCCCACGTTGGCCAACATTTTTTAAATAAGTAACTTTCCTTTCACAGACATGAGGATTACGGACCACCTAGATTTTTCAATATCAGGAAAAATACATTCAAGACTGTCTTCTGAACGTAAAAAAATTGACCAGGGAAACAGAGCTCGGCGAGGTTACATTCTCTTCTAATTTGGAGTTTTATGACATGACAGTATTTCATCATAAGAAAAAGCAAGATAACAAGCGGAGTGCGGTTGATGAAAGACGACTAGAACTACTTTAGGTGGAGTTGAAGAGGCGAAGAGAAAGAGGGAAAAAAAGCTACAAATGAATGAGTGGGAAAGAAAGAGTAAAAGAGAGGAGAAACCATGAAAGAATCGTGACTATAAATTTCAACGTGAAGATGAGAAAGTCAAAGGCAACGTTGACTCACAGCCTGTTGATTCTGAGTACACGTTCAAAGCCTGGAAGGTTAAATTGAAGCCCTGAATTGAGTTGCAAAAATGAGATTCACAAAAACAGAATGTGCTCACCAGAGTCGTAACATCTGCACACAAAGCTAGTACCCAATTCAAAAGCAGAAACAACCAACCACCGCTTCACCGTTGTCAGCGGTGCCACGTCCGGTCAGACGATGCCAGAGACCTCCGAAAAGGCCCCCAACAATCATCCAGGTGTGCAATCACACATCTGCCTGCCCACGCCCCCGTGAAGGAAGGAGCGACTTTCCACACCTGGGTAACACCAGTACCCGGGATGCTTTAGGACATGTGTGGTGCAGCGAGTGGTTGTTCTGCTAATGAAAGGGTACCCGTTGATCGTAAGTGCTTCCAAAGGTACGAGCTGATGGCCCAAAGAGTTGTGAGGTGGCTGACAAGGACAATATAGAGATAGAGCTTACCATGAGAGAATGTGCCCGCCCAGTTGAAATATGTAACCACGCCCGGAAAAAAAATCGCCATCGGGAAAATGCCGCTGTAGATAAATCATAAGGCAACGATCTAGCAAAGAGGATTGACGCTCACCAATATTTGAACACACCACATATCGACGAGGCCCAACCCGCCACAAGAAAGACAAAGCCACTTATGCACCATGTTGAAACCAAGTCAACCTTCATCCAGTGAGCAGTCCTGGCAGATGGTGTGTCACTCCGGCCCCCCTGACAGGAGGGGCCACGCCAGCACCCCAATACCTGGGTCGATTACACACCCAGGCAAAGGATGCGGCTACTTTACTATGCTTAGGCTCAAGGCCACCCACACAGTAGGAGATGTGACCGTGGCGATATCTGACTTGGCAGCGGGCATGGGTGACTCATCTAGGCTGCGATGCTAGAGGGCTTGAGCGGCGTTAGTGTTCGAGTTTGAGATGCTGTTATGCTGGCGAGATCACGTAAATACTGTTGGGATTGCGTATTGTCGGGCGTAGGTGGCTGACAAAGAGAATTAGTGTGCCTGGAGGCTGGTCAGATAGCGTGGCGTACTAGGTGTGGGCAGTGCCCCAAGGAGACGAACATAGCGTTAGGCGTGAGTGGCTGATATAGAGAAGTAGCGTTGGGGGTGTTCGAGTTTGAGATGCTGTGAAGTTGGAGAGATCGCGTAGATACTGTTGGGATTGCGTATCGTTGGGCGTCGGTGGCTGACATAAAGAATAGTGTGCCTGGAAGCTGGCAAGATAGCGTGGCGTACTACGTGTGAGCAGTGGCTCGAGGAGGCGAACATGGGATGGGAAGATAGAAATGAAAGATTAGAGGGGTTCGCTTAATAGAGGAAGACATGTCAAACAAGGCGGGGGCCAGTCAAGAGGGGTGATGTGGTGGTTTGAGCACAAGCAATGGATTAGATTGCTCAACAGCTTTCCAGGTCATTTATAGCGCGTGCGTATTTGGTCGAGTGTGTACCAGTTTTGGTCGCCAAACATACGCCTTGTCATTGCGTTGTCGCGTTGTCTGCACTGGCCCCCTGAAAAACCCACTACTTACGTAGCGGGCATTGAAAGACCAAGCGCAAAATATTGCATAGACGATGGAGAATCAGTCGCCTCGCGCGAGTTGGACAGGGACAGTCTCAATTCGGAGCCTGTTGAAAGTTGTAAGTAAGTAAATCCAACCCAGTACCATTTTGTGAAATTGTGCTCAGGATGCTCGACTCAATTCAGGCTTTTTGAGCGTTAAACGTTGAATGTTTGTTAAATTTATGCTCTGTTCTGCAATCGCGATCTCAAATTCGCTATTTCAAATATTCTCTTTGATCCTCCCACACAGCTGAAAAGGACTACATCTTTCGGAGTCGCTACATGTAGCGCACGGATGACCGCACCAGTCAGGCTCGTCCCCACACAGCGGTGATGCAAGCCCACCACCCGTCCAAGTACCTCTTTCGAGGACGACCTCTCTTAAGGACGACGGGTCTCGCGAAGGGAGTCATATAACTCAAGCCACGTTCCTACTCCCTTCTTGGCTAAGCTGGAAAGTTCGCGAATGCTCAGGTCGTTTTGAGTAACCGGCCTCGTGCCTTGGAAGGCCTTTGTTCTTTCATGCAATGTGGTCGTCCCAAATCCTTTCTTAGAGCGCGTATAAAGACATGTCCCACTTCCAGTCTCTTCCCTCATCCCCCTGCGATACCCCAACCACACCACCCATTCCCAATGCCAAGCAACATCGAACAAGCTATATCCCTCGTCCTCTCGTCCCACCAATCTCCCCAAGTATCCACCGTCCTCAACGCATACCTCCGCATCGCAGGCTTCCCCCTAGCCACACCCGACGCCGTCACCCTATTCGAACGCGCTTTGGACAAGCACCCGCACATGGAAGAACGCCCGGCGGGGACCGTGGTGACGAAGGCTATCACGGACGTTCGGCAGGACTACTACATGAGGGTGTTGGATCTGGGTAGTCTGGTGATGCCTGGCATTGTGGATGGGTTGTACAAGTGCCCGTGCTGTGGCAGGAATATGAGCGAGGATGAGATGAAGAGGAAGGTGTTGGCATTGGAGGATGGGTTGGAGATGGAGCAATATCATTATCTTGGTTAGTGACTTTTTTTTTCTTTCTGCGTCGGCTTGAATCTGAATTGACTATTTCCTTCGTAGCTGCCCCCGAGAAACCGAAAAAGATAAAGTCAAAACGCCGCATCGCGACAAAGACAAAGGCCCGCATGCGCAAAGCAAGACCGTTTGATCCATACGGTCCGTCGACCAGCGCTTCTTCCATGTGATGGATAAACAAGCGCTCTTCTATGCGGGCGGGAAATTTATGCGGGGTTCTTTGCGTCTTGGATGCAAGGCTTGTACCTCTTCACGGTGTACGGTGTCGTCCACGGACTCGTCGGCCCACATCACCCACGCTTCGCCCAACCTACCTCGCCCGCCGTCGTCCAGACTCCAAACTTCCTTGCCCCAATTTCCCCCACCGACAATTATACTTCTTTCCTCAATCGTCTTCTCAGAACATCTTGTAATCCCTTTCATATTTCCTGGAAGGATCTGTCCTTGCCCGACCCATTATCCCTCCTTCCCCACAGGAACCCCTCGTTTTCCTTCCCTCCCGCAAGACCTTCGTTATTCTTTCCCTTTCGGAACGACTGTATCATTACTTCCTCGGAACGACTTCGCGAGGCCTCTTCGTGACCATATCTGCATGCTACTTTCGAATGCGGGAAGTCCATTGGGCTTCTCAGCCCCAATTCTACACCGACGAATTATGTACAAATTTACGTATGTATATCTATGCTAGCCTCCACCTTACTTTACGCACGTCGTGGACATATATCTTACGCTCCTAAGTATATCACATTCTCAATGCAATGATCATCGCACTGCCAACATTATTCGTAAGACACTTCCATTGCACTAGCAAAACACAGCGGAAACTCTCTCTCTCGCATTTCTATCAACCACAAACCCATCTACAGTTGAGGCTGAGCCAGCTCAGGCAACCTCAACCCAAGATTATCAGGCAACGCAAGCGTATCATCCGCCGCACTCGCCAAGTGCCCACCAAACCCAACAGCGCCATTCACCGCTCGGAACTCTTGGATCCTTCTCTCAACCTCTGGGCGGAAGTGGCGCATGAGGCCTTGGATGGGCCAGGCGGCGGCGTCGCCTAGTGCGCAGATCGTTCGGCCTTCGACTTGTTTGCTGCAAGGGGGAGGGGAGGTGGGTTAGTGGGGAAACGGGAAACAAGGAGGGGAAGGAGGAGGGCTCACGTCAATTCGAGCAACATATCAATCTCACGGAGGTGCCCACGTCCTTCAACCATCCTATTCATCATGTTCATCATCCACGTCGTGCCCTCCCTGCAGGGGGTACACTGCCCGCACGACTCGTGCTTGTAAAACTGGGAGAAGCGCGCGATGGCCGCGACGATGTCGGTGCTTTTGTTCATGACGATGACGGCGCCTGTGCCGAGACCGGTTTGTGCGTCTTTGAGAGAGTCGTAGTCCATCCTGCGGGGTGAGTAAGTAAATGATAAAAAAAGGGGGGGGAGGTTTGAAGAAGAGAGAGACGTACAAGACTTCAGCACACACATCCTTGGGGATGACGGGAACGGAAGAGCCTCCAGGCACGATACCAAGAAGGTTATCCCACCCCCCAACAACACCACCACAATGCTTCTCAATCAAATCCTTCAACGGAATACTCATCTCCTCCTCCACAACACACGGGTTATTCACATGCCCACTAATGCAATACAACTTCGTCCCCTGATTCCTCTCCCTCCCGAACCCCGCAAACCAGCTCGCACCCCGCCGACAAATCGTAGGCGCAACAGCCACAGTCTCCACATTCGCCACCGTCGTCGGGCACCCGAACAGGCCCACGTCAGCAGGGAACGGGGGTTTTAAACGCGGTTTCCCCTGTTTCCCTTCGATACTCTCGATCAGAGCCGTTTCCTCGCCGCAGATGTACGCCCCCGCACCGCGGTGCACGTATACGTCGAACGCGTACCCCGACCCGCATGCGTTGGGCCCGAGGAGACCGGCGGTGTAGGCTTCGTGGATGGCTTGTTGCACGTGTGAGGCTTCTTGGTAGAACTCCCCGCGGATGTAGATGTACGCTGCTGTGGCGTTCATGGAGCGGCCCGCGACGAGGCAGCCTTCGATGAGTTTGTGGGGGTCCCCTCGCAGGATCTCGCGGTCTTTGCAGGTCCCCGGTTCGCCTTCGTCGGCGTTGATGACGAGGTAGCGGGGTCTAGAAAGGAAAGGGGTCTTTAAGACTTTTTTTTTCGAGGAAGTGGGTTGTTGAGTTCACCTAGGATCGTTCTGCCACCCTGGCTTGTTCATGAAGCTCCACTTGAGGCCACTAGGGAAACCAGCTCCACCACGTCCGCGCAACCCAGAATCTTTGATCTGCTGGATAATCCATGCGTCGCCTTTGAGGATGATATCTTTTGTACGGTGCCAGTCACCACGGCTCTACGTGTCCCCATGAACGTCAGTCATCGACGCCAATGACCAAGTTGGTAGGTGGACTTACGAGAGCGCCTTTAATCCCATGATCATGCCTACAATACGCATTTGTAAAAATCCTATCCTGGTCCTTCAACCCGCCGTATCGACGAACAGGAGGGTCCGCGACGGTGGCAAAGGAACGCTGTATGCGAAGTTTGGCGCGGAATGGGCGGGATATATCTAGGAGTTAAGCTTTAAGGTAAGGAAAAGGGGAAAGAGAGGAGGAAGGAGACTTACGGGTCGCGGACGCTGCTCGAAGCGACGAGGACATTGTCGTTGTCGTCGTCGTCGTTGCGGACGTTGAGCTGGCTTGGAGTTTGTGTTGAGGCGGAGTTTTTCGGATGACGAGTTACGTAATGATAAAATGCTGGACCTGTGATTGGCTGACTGGCCACACCTACAACTCAACTACAACTCCTGAAAATACCTCCCACACTTTAGCGAGAGGACTGCGTCGAAGAAACTTGTTTATTGGTGAAGCATTAGCGGAAGGTATCTTTTTTCAATCAAGCCAGCTCCATTCTCTCTGAATTATGTACGCTCACACCGCACACAAGGCACACAAGGAATTTACAGTACTAAAATTTACTGGTTGGTTAGGAACCGTATGTCGTGTTCGAATTCGTTTCGTTGAGTCCTCATTGTCAGTTAACGCCTTCCTCTCGAGGCCCGAGTGGCGCCACCTTAGCGCTGACGATACGCCCAATGTCAGGTCTACATTGTCAATCTACCTTCGCCCTATGGTGCCCATTTTCACCAGATCGAGATGGACGACGACTACTTAACCTTTCACCTTTTGTTATCTTGGGAACAAAAACTTTTAGGGGACGTTATAATATCAGGTTCCTCAGCGGCAAAGTGGAGCAACCTACTAATGCCGCACTGTCTAAAATTATTCCTTCCAAATGGACGACTTGCGCCCCCGAAATAATGCGATCTTGTGCTTTTAACACTCCCCTGTCTACGCTACGTTGTCAACTTACCTTCGCTTTGTACTCACCGGCGGACACAATTTCAGCGTCTACGGAACCCTCTCCTTATAATATGACTGATGTGGAGTAAGCTGTTGACCGCTTATTTTTCGCAAGTCGATGACATGCGAGCTTCAATGAAGTTGTTGACATCATCTTTTCTCGGGCTCATCCAAGGTTCATCTGACGTTATAATGACATTTCCTTCCCCGTGTTCCGCGACCCCCATCCGGGCAAAAGGAACTCATAAAATGGTAACGTAGCCTATCTGAAAATCTGGCAACTCTGAAATCAGGTCCAGACGGTCGACTTACTTGTTGTTTCGCTGCAGGACACAATTTTTTTTTTCATTTTGAACGGTCAAATTTACATTATCGACTCACTTCGGATCTTCGAACGGCACAATCATGAATCCTTCAATGTCCAAGGAACATACCTCAGTTTATGTTATGTAACGGACTGATCACGCATCCGAAGTTCCCAAGATATTTCTTGTAAGTTGACAGATTGACCCCCAGATTTTTTACAAGTTGACTGCCTACTTTAGCTTTACATTGTCAAACGTGTTCCGTCCGTTCAAGGACACAATCTCCCATCTGTTCAACGTGACGTTCTCTTCTTGAGTGATTCGATGCAGGGGCGTTACGAATCACAGATTCCTGAAAAGTAGTTTATTCTAAACTTGGTCAGGTACGTCGCTCAACTAAGAGTATACTTTGATCGTTCCAGATGACAGAAATTCGCACATGGGAATTTTGGGTCTTGTTCCCAATAAATGAACTGCTGTAAGTCGGTGACATGCATAATGATGAGTAACCTCAGGCTGACGTCAATGTATCCTTCATAGTATAATTTTGCGATGTTCAATGCGTGCTACACGCGTATTGGAAACGATTCTACGCGCTTTTGACGCGCTTTCAACGCATCTATATGGAAGGCACTATCTTCCTTTGGATGATACAAATGACGACGATCTTCCCGGTTTAGCTCTCTCGGAACCTACATCCAATCGGGTATTTCCATTTGACAGACCATTCCGAGCCTAACGAACAATAAACAATCGGCATTCAATCTCCACTACCTCAGAGATAGGAAAAACAAATTTTTTGCGAGTTCAAGATAGAGCTTTCTTCCCCTGGACTATGCCCCATGCATGCTCAAGCTACCCACACAAAATCGGAACACTACTCCCATGGTTCCGGAAGAAACACAAGACCGATTCTGACGGTTTTTTTTGTTGACTCAGGAGGCCCAGGAACAATGACATGGGCGGTGATGTGGAGTTCTCAGTTGGTTTGACGCTGAACGGCTGTTCGAGTTCTTGTGTCCCTGATCAATGACGAGATTACCGGAAAACAAGGACTTGTAACTTGTTATTGTTGATTTTGTTGATAGGAGGTGGGCGTATGGACACATGATTTTAAGGAATCGAATTCATCATGAACCTCTTATTTCAATGGCGTGTAGTCTTTTCTTTTCTTTCCCCTACCTAATTACTCCGTTTGAGAGATATTACGGTTCAGATACTCATGTTTGAAAGGATTTTAAGAGAGCCTCCTTCCTAATAAACATTGACTTTGGGACAGAAACGCAACTTACCCATGGTTATGGACTATCAGCATGAACGCGCAAAACATTTGATAGTCTACTGTAGTCACGTATATTGTTATAGAAATCGAAGTTCGGCTACTTTAAGTTTATGTACTACCCCAAATCCATAATCTTGTATAAGCAGAGAGAGAAAACGAGCTTTGAAAATCTCGGAAATATTTTTTGCGAGTGCAGGAGAACGGCGAAATTCCGGTCAAGTAATTACAAAACGAACTATTGAAGAGAACTGAAAACAATCAACGGCCTAAAACAAAAATCCAAACGCTCGAGTACCCACCTTTGTACTTTGAATGTCAAGGCCTCTCCAAAAAAAAATTGAGTGCTAAACACTCGGGGCCAGGAACGGCGTCATAAAAGGCGCCCAAACGTGCCTAGCGCCAGCTTCTTGGGCTTTTCGACCGATGATTCTGTCTTTTGATTGACGTACATACCGGGTCGGCGGAGTAATTACGTAGCACTCGGATCGGGATGTGGGGTTCTTGTTCCCGAAGTCCAGACAAACGCGGCAATGCGAAGATCTGTACGAGGGCATAATTAAGGCCCACATCTCCTAGAACCTAGATTGGCGTACCTGCTCGTGTCCGTCAAAAAAGCAACGCCCTAGATTAGCCTAGATTGGTATAACGGCTTTCAGAGACCTATGGAGGAAGAAGGTCGAGAGCAGTAAAAACGGTCTGATTGGCCGAGCGGACGTAATATTTTTTTCTGCACTGAGAGCAGTGAAAAATTAGAAAAATACCCACGGTGAGTCTAAATCACGCCAATTCAAGGAATAATTGTTCCCTGATGTCGCTATTTTCGCGTACGATCTGGAATGCTCGGTATTCAGTACTTGTAAGTACAGAAACTAGAGTAAGGTCAGATTAAAACGCGAAAACGTAGGACAGATCCCGCGAAATTTTCGGTCTGGAATTCAGCGTTCCGTCTCTGTCGTGGTCTGTGGACGCGATGTCGATGTTGTGATTGATCAGACGATCACACCCAAAACAGATCCGCCAAGAAAAAGTGCCACATGTCGCAGATTAGGCCAGATCTAATCGCGTGTCCCTGATGCTTTATGACGGGTTGAGCAAGATTAGGATTCAGTCCGACTCCCGAGGCATGGAGGCCGCCCATGATGAATCTGACGGCAGGATTAGATTTATGCTACTGGACGAGTTTCTGAAAGCAAGTAAAGGTGTATTAAGGCACCTCGTCATCTCTCTATGTTTTTAGGGATGCGCCGCCGCCAAGGAGGCGCCACGAGGTTAGTAAAGACGGATGACCTGGGATGATCTTTCTTTTCAATCTTTGTTCTCGACTTCGGCTGCTTCCAGGTCCCTGTCCTCTCAAAATCCCCCCCGAATTCATCCCTGTCTATGATTGCTATTTAATCCCCTCGAAATGTACTCGGATGATTAGAGAAATTCGCCCCTCTACAAGTACTACTCCAAGAACTGGTAAGCGGGCCCGGGGATTGACAAACCTCTCGATCACTCCGGCTCCACAGACCGCTTAAACATCTTTACTCTTTTCACTACAAGCACTCTCTCCGAAGCCTAAGCGTGCCTCTCGGTTCACCATGATCCGCTTCGACCAACTACCCCCCGAGGTTACACAAGCTATGTGTACCCCAATGCACCAAATCCTTCCCCCGACTCCCATTGCTTCACACCCGGGATACTCCACTGGCGCACTATACCTCGGCTCTCTTTCTGCTGTAATGGATGTCGACCTCCTTCGGCAAAACCACATCACCCATCTCGTTCAAGTCCTCGATGTCCCTTGGTTGCCGCTGTCAGAGAAGGAGGGATTCAACTGCTATCGTATCGACATCCTCGACCAGAGCACGGTAGATATCAGACCCCATCTGGAAGCGGCATGTGCGCACATTGATAAGACGCTGAAGAGTGGGAGGAGCGTGTTGGTACACTGTCAGCAGGTAAGAATTCCTTGCTTCCATTTATTGCTTTCGATGGTCGAAAATAGATTCTACCATTTTGGCCTCCCATCCCGATCTGACACAATGTAATCCTCCAGGGTGTGTCACGAAGCGCCTCCATTGTCATTGCGTACCTCATCCGCAATCATGGTATGACATTCGACGCAGCTCAAGCTTTTGTCAAACACAAACGCGCCTGCATCAAGCCCAACTCGGGCTTCGTCAAAGCTCTCCAGGAATGGGAAGCATCCTGGCGTCGTCCAGCAATATCACGTCGATTCACGTCCTGAAGAATACAAACGCGCCCAGGAACGACATCTTCAAGTACCCTCAAAATATCCTCCTGAATCGTGATTGCATCCTTGTGCCTGTCCTTTTTGCCCTTTTTCATATATGACATCATTATCAGGAACTCGTCACATGATGACGTACCTTACACTCCTTTCTATATCCATCCATCTTCCCCTTTCTTTCTTGTACCTCGTTTCTTTGGACCCTCGCCTCCCTTTCTACAAATACCCTGTTGAGTACTTCCATGTGCCAGTATTTTCGCTGCAGTCTTAGGGATACACGTACATTATAGTCTGTCCAATGTTAATATGGGTTTCTTGGTGTCAACCAAGTGTCAACTTTCATATACACGTGAGCGCTTTTCTTCTTTCCTAAATAGCTTATGAGTGCACACCCAAGTTTGTCGTTCTCTTTGATTTCAGAGCGTCAACAAGGTACAAATGTTGAGCGATTTTAGGAGCCTTGGATAATGCTGTGAGCTTCACGTTGGCTTCACGGTGCCCAGTGGACAGCAGAAGAAAATACCGCGCTCACTGGCGCAATTGGACGCGAAATAAAAGCGAACTGGCAGATAAATCATACATGCGCCCAGGTAAAAATTAAAAAAAGCAAAGTAAAACCAATAATGATACCGAATATATAATATCAGCTCCTCTCCGCCAATTCCTCCTCCAAAACCTCCTCCAAGCGCTCACACAATTTAAAGATGATCCACTCCGGCTCCGATTCACGACTGAAAAGAGGTCCCTTATCGCTCAGCCACGTCCACGTCCATTCCGGGCCCTGCTCACCCTCCATCACGATGGGGATCCCAAATTCATCTACCTCCGGCAACACTTTCGCACCATGTTTGATCGGGCACGCGAGCGTCTCTCCGCGGCGTACGCGTTCCGACATGCGCTCGTTCAACGCCCGCCTAACGTGTGTCTCGTCTCCGTCCGCACATTCCGTACCCTCCGCAAGGAGATCCAACCATCGAACCCAATCCTCCCAGTCATATTTGGGTGGAGGGGACCTGCGCACGTCTCTGGTTAGCTCTTTAATCTCCCGGGCTAGCCTCGCGGCGAGACTATCCCCGTGACCTCGATTCTCCTCAGCTTCCACAATGGCTTCGCCTATATGTTCGATATCCCCTGTAAAAGCATCTTTTTCCTCTAATGGCGGTCGCTCCGGTTCCATGGAACTAGCTTCCGTGTCCTCCCCAGCTTTCTTCTTTCGCTTTTCCCGTCTTCTTCCTTTTCTCTTCTTCCTTCGAACCTTCGTCCCCAACGATGACACCCGCTCTGGCAAAACCGTCTTGCTTCCAATCCATATTGTTGCGTCTGTCAAGCCTTTCACGACTGTATCACCCAAGTTGGAGATCAGAACTGTGACCGTCGGGACGGCCACTAAGCTCCAAATCACGAAGAACGGTTTGCCAGCGCTGGATGTGGGGAAGAAGTCCCCGTAGCCGATTGTTAGGATGGATGTGTAGGTAAAGAACATGGATTCTGGGTACGTCCAGTGTTGATGCTTGGAGAGGGGAGTAAGGGTCTGATTTTACGTAGTGAGGTGTGAAAGCAGATTTACCTGTTCGGTCCTCCAAAATATAAGAGCGCCCCCAAGCCAGACAAGCAAAAACACAAAGATAGACACGCAAAGAGCCGTATATCTTTGAGCACTCTCTGCCCGAGCCTCGACGTATCGCATGAGTTCAAATTCGGCTTTACGCCACGCTCCGCGATCATAAATAACTTGTTGCTCCGCCAACGCAGGAATGTGCTTAACCTCTTTCAATATTGACGCGCGTCTGCCTTTACTCCGCATACGACTCCAAAGCGATTCTGGGGTGTCGTTTTGGCCGCCGCCGCCGGAGCGCTTCTTCTGCCTCTCTTGCGACTCTTTGATACGCGTAAGCCACTTTTGGCGTTCCTTCCCGAGATGGCGCCTCACCACCTTCACTTTGGCGCGTTCCAAGACTAAGCCTCGCACGCTGCAGACGACTAAGCCCACGAAGGTGATTCCAAACGCGGCGTATGGCATCAAGATCATCCGCGAAACTGTCCTTTTCAATGGAAAATCTGATCCTAGACCGATGGTCAAGACAGTATAGTCCGCCCAGTAAACTCCGTCCGTAAAGCCCCAATGTTCCAGATGGGAAAAGAGCCACCCACCAAGCGCGAGATAGAGGGAGAAAGACATCGTCTGAAGCATCAAGCTACGTTGAGGTAGAGTGAGAGAATTGAAGGAGGCCGCGTAGACCTCGAACTTGTATGCACATACGGTGTTGATAAGGAGGAGGGTTGATACGGCCACATGAATGACGCAGCCGATCAACCCATACCAGAATGACTGAGAGAGGGCGTGAGTCGGTACGGCGGAAGAAGAGGTCAGCGCAAGCGGGACGATTAACACAATGCTAGCCGAATACCTAGAAGAGGCTTTAGAGCGCAAACAAGACAATAGGATTTCGGGAAGTCTCACCATAGGGTGATGGTCAGGGGTTGGGCGATCTTATATGGCACTCGGCGGGCAAAATTAAAAAGAAGAATGAGGTTGGCCCAGAATGCCAGAAAGATGGAGAGTGCGTTGAGCCCAACTACCCTGTTGCAAAACTGTTAGTAAGAGTCAACACCCGGTCTTTCAATGAACGACAGACCAAGCGGGATCAGGGATCCTGCGTAAGGTGTCAGTGTGAAACTTCCAAGTCTGCGCTATCGAGCAGACCGAGAATAGGTTAGCAATTGGTCCAAACGTTCCTGCAATCAAAGGGAACACGGTCGAGGTGAACCACCATAATCTAGAAAAGTCCAATCAGCATGAAAGCGGCGGCAGGATGAACAAGACCCACGTCTTCTGATAATATTCATATACTTCTTCCTCGTCGTCGTGTTTTAGCTCCTCTCTAATCAACTCCCTTTTATGAGAGAGCCTATTTTGCCTCTTCTCCGAATGCTTCGAAGGTGTTTTCGCTGGCGGGACCGGGCTCAGCGATTTTAGCGTCGTAGTGCCGGAGCTTGATGGCTTTTTCGTCAACTCCGTCTCAGCGGCGGCTTGATTGGAATTTCGAATCGCTTCGTCTAGCCCTGGGTCGTTCATTTTTGCGGTCGACGACGTTGATGACAGACATCTGAGGGACTGAAACCGACAAATGGTTGAATAGAACTTGAATAAATTGGCTGGCTACATCATGTTACATAAGTAATTCAATTTTGCAATGGATCACGTGAATATAAGTCGTTTTCTCCAACCCCGAGCTACTTTCCAATGCCACACAAACGAGCAAAACGAACGACGAGGGAACAGGTTCGCGACCAACGGTTCGATTTATGCATTAATCCAGAATTTTTGCCTCAGCTGACATGCCCTGGTCGGACAGCGGAACGGATTGGGCACCAGGGAAAGACTCTTTGACCAATGAACCAATACCAAAATCGGCGTCACGTATTCTAAACGCCAGTAAAATACGAGATGACTTCAAAGCGAAAAAGCGTAAACTCGAGGATGGGGACGATGGTGAACGTCAAGGCAAGCGAAGAAAGTCAGACGGAAAAAAGTTGGGAACTGCAGAAAAAGGGAAGCTGACGATCAAACCTGGAGAGTCGATACAGCATTTTAACCGGTACGTTGTGGGTCGACTTTCTTGCTGTCCAAGTGGGAATTGACTATGGAACAACAGGAGAGTAGAGGATGACCTCAGGCCACTCATAAAATCTGCCATGCACACCTCTAACGCTGTCGCACGCGGCGTAGCCAGAAAAGAGATGGAAGACAAGGCTCAAGCTAAAGCGAAGAATCTGCGTACCCCTCTACCCGCACCCCGATCCCCCAGCCCAAGCCCTCCCCCTCAAAAGGTAGAAAAACACGAGGGCCGACCAAAAGAGTTTCAATCCCTCTCAACATCCGCCCCTCGTCGGCTAAACGACATCGCACAGGCGCCTCCGGAGCTGAAGAAGTTTCCTCGAGGAGCAGCCACTGCTGCAGGTAGCATGCACAAGCGTGTTGATGGTGTTCTGTCGATGGCGCAGAAGGCCATGATGGAACAGGAGAGGTTGAAGGCTGTTTCGCGATATAGGGAGCTCAAGGCTAGTCGCAGGCAAGCTGGGGAAGGTGGGGATGAGAGAGCACGAGGCGCAGATGATGATGATGATGATTTCCGCCCGTCATCCTAGTTCTCCCTCTTGTGCGTAGGATCACGGCTGACGTGTTCATTTTCGTATACCCTGGTATTTGCGTTGAGTCGTCTTCCTCAGTCATAAGCACCCTTTTCTCACGTCACCCGGAAAGTCTGACACAGCCGTCACCCTCACTCATCATTTCTTCACTCTAGTTGGCGGCTCAAGTCTTTGACGCTTGCCCGCACCGCTGCCGACTGCGTTGAGCCCACAGGTTCTTCCAACCCAGCCCGTTCCGTCAAACTCCTGGGCTGTGAAACGAAGCGAATAACAGGCTATTATCTAGCTGCAATATCGCTTCCAGCTCTATTGCCTCCAGCTCTATCGCCTCTCTTGGTCTAACTCGAATCAGCTGTATTCCATTTCTTCTTCTGACTTGATCCGTTCTAGATCCGTCCATATACCATACAGTATCACATCGCGTTGCCTAATAACCTGCGGCGGGGGGTATTGTAAAATTTGTCCATCCAAACTTCTCCATTGTCACTGCTAACGGAACTTGCTAGATACTCCAACGGTGATGTATTCAGCAACTTAACCTCCTCAATCTACCGGCCACGCCTTTGCTTTGCCTTAGTCCGCTCATTCACCGCGGCTTTGAGCAACTTGCGGAGCAGAATTCTATTGTAAGAAACTGTCCCTTCAAGTTTTCCATTAGCATTATCATGGCTGACGGATCAGCCCAACTACTTTTCGTTGAGTCATCCTTCACCAAGGTTCAACGGATGATTATGAATTAAATGGACACCACACCTCCACGCAGCCTTTTTTTCCATTGCAATTTGGCAGATCTAACCTGTGGCGGGTATGGGAGCGTCTCAAATTATGATTCGTATTGTTTTACTCAGAGTTGGAAGCAGCGGCCAGACCAGTTAAGCGTACGCCCCAGTTCCACCTAAATCAAATTTGCTATCTCAAATGCTATAGTGTCCGACAGGTTCAAGCCTTGAAGCAACAAATGTTGAGCAAAGTTCCCGCGGTGTCTTCAACAACTCTCCGCAGTCGTCAATACGATGGCGTCAAGCGCAAAGTTGCGCCGGTCCGGTCGTGTCTGGCTTTGCATGTCTGTCGAATTTACGGCGACCTGAGATTTGACTGAGATGATGCTCAGGCGAGTTTGCACAGCATCACCAGCTCATCAAGCATCTTGTATCCAGCTGCAACCGATGGCAGGCATACGTATCTAAGAACCATAGCGTCGCGTTGGACAGCAGTGTTTTGAGAGTTGAACATGACTCGAATCAGAACTGCTTTCGCGCGCGCTGCTCCAAAGGGCCCATGAACTCCAAACATCTCTGAAATGGAAGCCGATTCCGATGGGGTCGATAGTCGATCTATTCCTGGGCAATTTGGGCGACCTCCCAAGGCATGCATTACAGTTCATTCTATCTGAAGAAGACATTCGCACATCAGCCATTGCCGTCCCAGAGCGACATGCCGTGCGGTCAGAGCCAGCTGTTACGAGTATCCGACGCCTTGTTTGTCCCTTGTAACGACTTCGCATCACGGGCGCCGCCTTACATCACTTTCCGCAATCGATCCATGAACCCATCCGTGATGGAGTTCTTTGACCGCACTCGTTCCGGTCAAATACCCACCACACTCTATCTGGCATCTTGTCGATATTTATCATTTATTATTAGGCCTCCACCTATCCTCCATGCACCTCCTTAAAACGATGCGCCGCCCTGCCTTCTCAACGAGCTGTCTTTAGCACCCTCATCTCCTGGAGTTCACCGCTCTTCGCATGTCTGTCGTCGATATCGAGAAATTCTCTCAAAAGCCGCCAGCTGGCTCCTTCGACTCAGGCTATGAGTGCTCCAGGCTTCCTTCCCTTCAGAACGCTACTCAGCCCACAAGCCCAGTCAGATCAATCTCAGAATCCGGCACAGTCGAACTATTGACCTACGAACACCAATATTCAGACGGGGGGTTAAAAGCCAACCTTACAGTCCTCGGCGCCTTCATCGCACTGTTCTGCACGTTTGGCCTCCTGAACGCGTTTGGCACCTTCCAAGCGTGGTACACGACCCACCAGCTGCAACATATGTCGCCATCGACAATTTCCTGGATTGGTTCATTGCAGCTGTGGGTGTTCTTCTTCTCGGTACGTTGTTTCCTTGCGTTTCACTAGTGCGGAGAGCTTGATCGTGCCTTGTGTAGGGTTGGCCTATTGGGCGTGTGTTTGACTCATATGGACCTACTTGTTTGATGGTAGCCGGAACGCTCTGCTACCTTGTTAGCATCCTGGCGACAAGTTTCTCTGTCCACTACTATCAATATGTCCTGTCGCAGGGAATTTTATTTGGCCTGTCGGTCGGGTTGCTGTGCGCTTGCCTTTCCTTTGTTGACAATCCAAGATAACTGATCACATCACAGATTTTACCCATCGCTCGCCAGCATCTCGACCCACTTCTTGAAATACCGTGCCACTGCGATAGGGATTGCTGTGGCCGGGTCTGGTCTAGGTGAGGTTGACCCCTAATTTAATCCTCAATACTTACTAACCCGAAATTATAACACCAGGTGGCGTTGTATACCCCATCGTTCTGCAACATCTCTTTGAAACAGTCGGATTCGGGTGGGGAGTCCGAATCTCGGGCTTGGCTAGTTTGGCAGGGTGTGTAGCTTCAACATTGACCGTGAAAAGTGCACCCAGCCCAACGCAACCTGGCTCCTGTCCTAACCTGAAAATACTCCCGGATGCTCGATTTTCTCTCCTATCAGGGGGAAGCTGCCTAGCCGCTCTCGGTTTCTTCATCCCCTTCTTTTACATCGTAGATTACGCTCGCCACCTCTCCATCTCAGAGCACACATCTTTCTACGTGCTGGCAGTCCTCAACGCAGGCGGAGTTCTGGGACGCATAGCCCCTGCTGCCCTATCCGACACCATCGGCTGCTTTAACCTCCTCGCCCCTTCAGCGTTCCTCTGCGGCCTGTCATGTCTCATCCTCTGGTTCGTGACTGCTAAATCCCTTGCGACATTGATGCTTTTTGCTGCGATCTATGGGTTCTTTTCCGGCGCTTTTATCTCACTCGTCAATCCTTGTGTAGCGCAGATCTCCCATATAAGGCAGATCGGGACGAGGATTGGGATGTTGTACAGCATGTTATCATTTCCGTGAGTCCTCGCCCCTCTCATCTGGTTATTTTTCCATGTATGGGCCTTCCGACCCAACGGGTGGGTTCGTGCCCGTCAATTTCGGGTCTACTCGTCGTTTTGGTCGTGATCCTGTAAATTCTACGTTGAATCCAACTCTGGACTGGAAAGCTGACTTCTCCAAATCAATGTACCACAGATCTCTTCTTGGTAGTCCCGCAGCAGGCGCTCTTCTTAGCAGAGGCCACGGGTCTTTTGACGGACTAATCATTTTCTCCGGGTCGACAATCATAGCTGGCTCGCTCCTCATCCTGGTGGCAAAACTACTTATAGAACCACGGCTATTTGCTCGTGTCTAAACAGCCATCTGGCCATTATTATTGGAACATTCAGCTGCGTTTAAAGTAACATCACCTAGAATTATTATTTATGATATGTACATCTTAACTTGAATGTGTGTTTGTAGTGTTTCTGGCAGTCTGGTTCCCGGCTGGAATACCTCATCGAAATTGCCAGCCTCCTCATATATTTAGGAGGATCGGGTAATGATTATAGTCAAAGAAGATCAAGATACAATCATGATTCCAGCACGAAACAAAACATCCATCCGCTAAATTCAACGCTCAGACATAGTGGCCAAGTAATCAGAAAGCTAAATGGAAGACGTCAGTATGATCTCATGAAGCGCCGCTGACAGCCAACCCACCTTCATGGCACCCGTCCTGATGCTTTCTCCAACGTTCTGCACATCCGGGTTAGCCAGAAACTTGGCAACAGTATCCCTTGCGGCCAATTCGAGACCTGACAAGCTGCCATCCCCAAGTAACCCATCTGAACCCACACCTCCCGCCAAACCTCCCGACTCCTCTTCCTCTTCCCGCCCAAAGTACTGGTTCGATGAGATGGAAGTGGCTCCCTGGAAATTCTGCAACCGTGTCTGAGCCTCGGTGACTGCATTAGGGTCGTACGAGTTACGACCGAAAAACATATCGGACGAAATAGCCTTCTGGTTTCCAAACTTTTCCCGCGCAGTAGTCGGTGCATCATCCGCCATGGGCGCTGAGCTCGAACGTGTAGAGGAAGAGGCAGCAGCAGCAGCAGCGACGGCGGCGGCAGCTCCAGCACCTGGAATCGCGCCAAACCCTAGCCTAGGGAACGCAGGAGACTTACTCGTCTCCACGGTGGTCTTTGCGGTTGATATCGTTGCTGCAGACGTTACTGCGGGCCTGAGCTCCTGAGCCTTCCTCAGCGACTCTGCCTCCTTCCTCGCTTTCTCCTCCTGTTCTTCGCGCTGCCGATCATACCCGAGCTGCTTGATCCTCTCGGCCTCCTCGAGGGCCTTGCGCTCTGCCAGTGCAAAGTCTACAGGTTTCGTTTTCTGCGCGCCCAATCCCAACTTGGATTTCTTGGGTGCACCAGATGTGGTGGTGCTGGAGGAAACGGACGATGCAGAGTTGAGGCGGGAGGTACCTGCGCCGAGACGAGCGGGTCGGGCGGCTGCGGATGAGGTCAAGGTACGTGGGGCTGCGGTGGCGGGGATCGCCGGGCTGGTGGCTGGGGTGCTCGCCGGGGTGCTGCCGGCTGAGGATCCTGCAGATGGCGCTCGGCCAAGGATAGGTGGGGTGGATATCCTTGGAGTTCCAGGCGCCGATCCTTTAGGCGTGGAGGGCTTGGACCATGAGTTGAAAAAGTCGTCCTCTGTTTCTTCCTTGTTTGTCGCTTGTGCCGGCGCTTCCATGCCATCCACGACAATCCCATTGGGGAATCTAAGACGGGATGAGAGGCTGGTGTGAGAAAGAGTTGGGCGCCACTCACCTGGCTATATCGTCCTTGACCCGGCGTGCTAACTCCTCCTTGTAAAGCTCAGCAAAGCGACTAGAGTATTTCTTCTTGGTATCGGAGTCGCTCAACAACGAAGCTCCGCCGTGCTTCGTGAAGAATTCTTTTGCAGATGCGTTCCCCCCTGCCTTCATTGTTCGTAGCTGAGCCAATTGCCAACTGTCCAGGTTGGTTGATCTGCCAATCGGCTTCAGACAGATGTGGATTGAACCTTTCGATGAATGCTTACCGGACGAAGCTGATATGAACACCCATATTCCTGTGTACACTTGAACATTCTAAGCAGATGTATACGCCGAAAGTAACGCTTGACCAAGTCGGATTCCGAGCATTACAGTCAAAACATGACTGCGAATAATAGATTAGGGGCAATGAAAATTTTCCTGAGTTCTGAAGAGCGCACCTTGTTGCCTTTGTGCGCCCTTAGGGCCTTGAAGACTTGCTCAGTTTCTTGTTTTGTAGGCTCCGCCATGATGCTTGTCGCGGTTTTTGATGAAGGCCTGATGAAGACTATATTCGATGTCGTGGCGACTGATTACGGGGCTATTGACGGTTGATGCATACAACACCAAATAAGCCCCCGCTTGATCATGGCTTGGGCACATCCGGGACAAGAAAACGTAGCCCCGACAACGAGGCAATGTATACCAAATTTACAACCTTTGACTTACAAATGATTCATCCTGCATCGCCGGCAACCGAGCACGCACAGAGAGAACCTTTGGCAGATTGGTCATCTTCAAATTCGTTTCCAAAGCAAGCGGAAAATTGTGCAAAGCTTTACTAGACGGGTTGATCCATTTGCGACTGCAAATACAATACTTGGTTACCCAGTACGTATAGTTTCCTTTACTCCCAATGGGCGCGTGGAATATCTGCAGCTCGTCGTTCAACAATATTAAGGTAACGGAACTGTGATATCAACTGAAAGATCCGAGGAGTTCATGGCCAAAGTAAAATGGTTGATGTATGCCAAACGACCCTTATGGTATATAATTACCATTGCAAGGGTGCCCGCCCATTTATCCAAGTCCAGCATCCCGCGCAAGGTTGCTCGTCAGCTACGTGACGGAGAGAATGACAGTTTCATACCTTGTAATATTATAATTGTCGTCAACGAGAACGTCTCCTCGGCTGAGGTCAGCGTGAATCAATGAAGAAGGATGTTCACAGTGGTGTCCTCGATGGCCATAGGAGTGGAATTGTACGGGATGATGCGAAGGTGCCCAGCGTGTGTCGTCCTGGATTGCAACGCAGCAGCAATGTTACAGAGCTCGAGATGTGCAAGATCGGCTTCGGAGAGACAGAACCATTCTAAGAACTTAATCTCAATTAATTTTCGCGTGCGCTGCCAGTCGCATCGGTTCTCTGTCACTGACTATCAGGGAGTCAGCGACACGAAGATGGGGAATAGCCAAGGAACTTCTAGCACATAATCACGGATAATCATGGCATACTTGTATCTGCTGCGTAATTGGCCCTACAAGATCATTATAGAATTTGCCTGTCCATGAGTGAAGACGACTCACTATTCGATGATAACGTTGTGGGATGAAGCCAACCAGGTGATGAGGGTGAGAATTTGGTACGGCTCGGGAGCTTTTCTTTGGATCAATCTACTCAGAAACCCCCTTTCCGGCAGAAACCCTAGGATTTCTCATGGTCAGGTAGAACCCCCCCATTACTAACTGAAAGAAGTATTTATAGAAACCCTACGTCGGAGATGATGGAAAAATCGGACTTTAAATTTCAGGTATGACATAATCGAGTTCAAGCGACGCGTCATCGTCTTCCAACTCAATAGAGGAGATATATGGAAAAGAGTCACATGCAAACCTTGGACCATTCGGGAGGGATCTAGCCACTTGATGAGACAATTATTGCGAGGGTTTTTGCCATAGTCAAGGGCAGTGGATGGGATCAATGAGTTGCACTGTACACTCCCAAAGGGATGTCGGAACCGATCGGACCTCAAATATTTTGACCATCGGCAATCAGTGATTTGCTTGTGGTTCCCAGGTTTCTGAAGTGGTTGGATAGAAACCTTAGGGTTTCACGCGGAAAGGGGGGTTTCTGGATAGTTTAATCCCTTTTCTTACCATCATTTTCTTATTCCGCAGAGTCCGCACCGCCACCCTTGGCAATTGACCTCCATGAGCGACAACCATCCTAGACGTCGCCCCTCCATTCGCAACAATCCCTGGTCCGTTCATCTCATACTTCCATACCTTATCGTTCAGGTGCTCTTCTTCCTAGTCTGGGTGTTCACCCAAGTATTCTACGTCCTTTCTTCAAAGGTATTTGACGAGGTCCCTTCTAACCTCCTGTACGGCGCTCCTTGCCTTCTTCTCCATCCAAGCAAGCTGACTAGTTCCACAGGCCATGCTTCCTCACTATACCGCTCGGAACGATCTTCTTGGGATTGAGCGTGTACCACTTACGTCTACACCGCCGCTCCGATCCGCAGTTCTCAATGCTTATCGTCGGAATGTTTTCTGTAGTGGCTACGGCCGCTTGGGCTGTTTTGGGATACGTAGAAGCGACCGTTCATGATGGTCCTCCCACTGATTCTGATAACATGGCGTATTGGTCGATGATTACATTCATGTCAATGAGTTTTTACTACCTGTGAGTAATGATTTTGTACTGCGGGGTGACGGTTCGCTGACTATCCCGAAATAGTTTCTGGAATATACTCGCACTGATAGGTTTTGGTGTGGCGGAGTGCTTCAGTATCAGGAGGACGCAGGAAGCGAGTGAGTTTGGTTTCGTTTTGTAGGCGCCCGCGATTTATCAACACTTGTTTCATAGGATACCACCCTTTGCAGCCTGTATAACTGTAGGAAAGCATCATTATGCTTTGCGACATCCTTTTTAACGGAAAGCCATGCCGTATACCTCTCAACTAGTATATCTGCTCTGGACGATTGCACTGTCGTGGTCTCAACTATCGAAGCTTTCAGGCGAAACTCGATCCAATTCATTCATCGCCCTGCTTCATGAATGCGGGAATGGAAAGGAGGTCGTCCAACAACTCAACTGCGCGGGTAAATCATGACAGATTACTTGAATCTTTCATAGCAGGGTGTTCAAGTAGTTATTCAAAAACTTACCTGTCAGCAACTCAACGGACTCGCGATACATTGTTGGCTCGTTACGATTTCTGTTTGCTGGGCAGCCTTGCGCAGCTAACGTGTACTAAAATCGCTTTGCTGAGCATCGCATGGAAACGTCACGTGTTTGGTGCACAGCCAACGGACAACTTGAACTTGAACTTCAACAAGCGCGACATTTGGCGATTCCTTCATAGTCAGCGCTTCAGCCTCCAACGTCTGTAAGTTTCAAGTGATACTCGGCGCCGTTCAAACTCAAAAGCCATTCATTCCTGCTTCCAAAGTTAGATATCGATGACTCTCCTAGTCCATGAGATCGCGGCTGTGCGAGAGGCCATCTCGAAAGAGAAGCCTTTCTGCACTGGAACTTATCCACTCACCAATAATGCGGGACTCTTTTTCTTCCGAAAAGGCGACGCCGCAGGGTAAGACAGACACCCGCCGCTTTTGTAGCCCCTTTTTTTCATCATTGCACCCCTAGGTGGGTCGATCTAGCCAACGCCAGTGATGAGAAGCTTCAAGCGCTTCTGGAAGCTTGCGAGCCAGCTCCGTTCGGGGTGAACAACAAGGACGTTCTTGACGATACGTATCGCAAGGCTTGGAAGATGGACAATTCGAATTTCTCAACACGTCTCGATGTGGTTGATACCGGAATAGTAGAGCACGTTCGCTCCAAGCTCGTTGACGTCGGCCACGGAGGTCAAAAGAAAATTCGACCCGAGTTGTACAAATTAAACATTTATGGTGAGTTAGATTTTAGGTTAAATAATGCTAATATGTGATGCATACTCTTTTCTTCTCTGAGGCACCGGATCTTTTTTCAAGGCGCACAAAGACACTCCCCGGGGCGAGAATATGTTCGGATCCCTCGTCGTCGTTTTCCCCACTCGCCATGAAGGCGGTGCGCTGCACCTCCGCCACAAAGGTGAAGAATGGACCTTTGATTCTGCGGCCCTCACCTCGGCTCAAGAAGATCCTTCGATTACGTATATTGCGTTCTATAGCGACGTTGAACATGAAGTCTCTGTGGTCAACTCCGGTTACCGTGTTACGTTGACCTACAACCTTTACTTTGATGGTGCTTAACACCCCCCTTCATCTTCCAGTATGAGATAAACTTGGCTCACAACTTTTGAGTTGGGTAATTGGCCTTTTATTTATTCAGGGAACAGACAGTCGAAATATCGGCGGACTCTTCCTCTTCTGCTTTAAATAATTATCAGAGGGGGGTAACGTGATGACACAGGGGAGAAACGGTGATTTGTCCAATGACTAAATTACTGGACATATGTTGATTGGAGGCATTATTGCTCAATAATTTACTTCACGTTTGTCAGGTGGGTAAAATCAAAATATGCCCAACATTAAACATCAACTGCAATTAGGATGTGCACAAAGGACCACATGAGAACTATTGGCAAAATGTGCATCAAATTTTCTCCAGCAGCTCATTCAATATTTGTTTCCAATGTGCCCAGATATGATTAAATGTATTCAGAATATGCCCAATATTCCAAGACCAGCTTCATTTAGATTGTTACTAATGGGCATATTTTATATGTGACTACCATCCATAGTGTCTTTTTATCTCAGCTTTATTCTTGAATATATTTTAAATTTATCTTTGTACAAATGTGAAGAAAATCATTGAGCAATAATCCCTCTGATCAAAATATGCCTAGTAATTTACTCATCGGACAAATCACTGTTTCTCCCTGTGTGAAAAAAATTCCCAGTCGATGCGTACTGAGAAATCTTGAAATAAAATCACCAAAATATAAGATATCTTACTGCGAAATTGTCACCACATCTGTTGAGACAATACACCAGTTTGCGCGGAATATTTTGCAGCTAAACGATGAAACGCCGGTTCAATTTACAATTCCCAGAATTTTTTTTCTTTTCCAAAATTCTTAAATTTCAAGCTGAATTATACTCCGTAGGGAGACCACAAATTAAAGCTTCTTGATTGCTGTTTTTTTGCCCCTAGTTTTGCCCAAAGTAGCGGGCGACGTGATGGCGACGTGACAGTCTAAGCACTTATGTAACCCCCTTACGTAAACGTAAACGAACCATTATATAACTTTTTTGCCGGGTTTAAGTCTTGAGCGCTTGAGCTCTGAAATTCAAAAGGCTCCAGAACTCATTTCTTCTGGAGCCATTTTTCCCTACAAAATCACGGATTTGTCAAGCATCGATTGGCCTTGAACTTACCTCATACTGAACGTGTTCGACAATACCTGGGCCTCCAGCTCTATTATTCATGTTTTAACGGTAAATGATCGCTATTCTTTCTTTGATTAATCCTTCACTGGGGCACGCAGAGACGTTGCATATGCCAGACACTTAATCAGAAGCTCCTAGTCAAGAAATGGCTCAAAAAAGCGCGCAAGACTCCCCTCCCAATTTACACTGCTAAATATCCCCCTGATCTGTATTTGTAGCACCAATCCTCCGTTTCCAGATTATCGGGCAGGAACAAACAATACCTCTGCACCATTCCATCCTCTGGCCTAACATGACCCTAGAGCATGTTTTGTCTACGGAGGATGATAAAGGATTATATCCTGGCATATTCTGCCCTCTGCTAGACGATCCCATCGCGGTGACATTACTTTTCATCGAATCATTTCCCATCGATAACAATGATCACGCTTCGTCAAGTAGCAAGAATGGTCAACGAATGGTACGTTTCCGTAATCTCGTGTGCGATACAAAATCTCAGCGAAGGGGTGTCGGAACGCGACTCCTTGCGTTTGCCCTATCGATGGCTAGATCCGAATTGAACGCCACAATAGTGTGGTGGGACGCCAGAACGTCAAGCCAAGATTGGTACAAAAGACGGGGACCTAAAGCGTTTGGAACCGGGTTCTTCAAAGACTCCGCGGAATACATGAGCATGAGAATAATCGTTTGGGAATTGAAGGGCCAACAATACTCGGAAAGTGTCGAACATGAGGCTTCATAAATACGTGCGTCAATCACCAATTGCCATCTAACCTTTACTGAATATACCTGACGCTTCTATAACAAGAATCGACCTAATTTCTTTCTCACCAAGCTTCAAAAACATCAGACACGGCACGGACGGTCTGCATATGGACTGAGATGGGAGGGTTTTTTCTCTCGTTGCTGCCCACATAATAACTCTAGTGGAAATTTCCAACGTGCAGAATTCCAGGTTCATTTTCCCTTTTGTTTCGGCGACCCACCAATCAGCTGGCCACGATCCACGGGTGAACCGTCATTTCCTCCCTTGGCACAGCTCCCGATAACAAAATATTGGGTCCACAAACATGTGTCGACCAGCGATGCTCACGCGCCCTACAACGGACGCCTTTGAACATTCCACAGAAAGATACCCAAGAATTCACAATACCGCAAGCAGCCGGTGATCGGGAACGGTGAATATTTGAATAGGCACACTGCGAGGTCACCCTGGATTTGCGGCACGCTCTGATGTCATTATCCAGCCCGATAGAACAACGTGTTTTAAGCTCGCTACTGACTAAAATGTAATTGAATGGGTATATCTCATGTTCCATTTATATGCCTTCTCACGTCGACGACGGCAACTAAAAAAAAACACGAGCGTCCTCGTATGGCGCTTAACTACTTCTGAAAGGTCTGGTGCGATATTCGACCTGGATTAAAGTTTCCATAAAGAGATACACCTGGTGGATTAGTAGCGGAAATTTTATTCAAGAAATACCGTTTCGGCCACTAGGTCCCGGAAAGATCGATGACAAGGGGCGGACAGAGGAGCAATATTTTTTGGCATGTCGTTTTCCATATTCGCCGCTCTTCTCCACTTGAATCGCAAGGTACAAATTGACCCCGAACTAACCCCGAGAAGTATTATGCCCATTTGAGTACCGCGAAAAACTTATAAATAAGAGGGACTCCTTTCTCGAATTCAAAGCCCTTGAACTTTCTTTCCTACCGCGCGCTTTGACAGAGAAATGCTTACCCACCAAGTAATTCTCCTCGTCTCTCCAGTTTTGCTATTTGCTTTGTCTCAAAGGCGGTCGATGCAGCGAATGCTTCTCAGCTTTCGATGCGGCCGTCTTTGTTCATAGCCAAAGTAGTGAAATGGAGCGTCATTGGGAATTAATTGTGGGTCGGCCTGTTCCTAAAAGCTGAGGACACTACGCTCTCATTGTTCTTGCTCTTCATAGGCCGCTTCCCGTTGCGTTTATGCTTCTGTCACTTTCGCTCATTTGACGAACGTGCCTACTCTCTAAGGTGATCATTAGTTCCGCTCAACGGTCGGAGGCGTTATTCCAATCTGTCCTTCAAAGGCTGATTGTTCCCAGCCTTTGGCATACTTGCTACCTTTCGACACAGGTTGGGTCAGTTGCTAGAACCTTGTTGCAGACAGTTCAGAAGGGGCGCTTATTATCTCCATTGTATAGGTCCGTAAGTGGAGATATGAAATATAGTTTGTCGAAGGCTAAAGACGATTTGTATAAATTGCTACAAGGTTGCTGTGGTATCATAAACCTCATCTAGGCTGGTCTCAAATGAGTTTAGCTTATTAAATAAACATGTAACGGCATGATGAGTGGAGGAGCTAGCGCTGCACGCCTACAATGTCGTTAAGTCTTGCCGTGCCGAATCTTGGAATTTGAATGGACAATCATGTGGACTTCGGCAGACGAGGAGTTCAGTTGTGCAGTTGTTGTACAGTGTGGCTTTTGCCGAACGCTGGCGCAAATCATTTTTTAGAGTTCAGGACTCCAATTGTGGGGATTCATAAATCAATGAATTTTCCGAAGGAGAACTATTTTTACATACGAGTTGTTGAACGTTGAGGAGCTAACCAGGGTACAACCAAGGTACAACTGGCAGCGCAGTATGCCGCAAGATCCTAGCTGATAGGGGACTCATTTATTGCGAGCACGTTTTTTTTGGGATTCTTGGGCCAACCAGGCTAACAATCGTCCTTGTTCACGAAGGTTACAGTAGATCTTGAGGACAAGGGCAAGTGATTTGAAATTATGTAAAACATATTACATAAGCCCTGATCATCTTCCAAACTCTTCCGCTAACGCTCACCACGGAAATCGTTATATTCTTCAAGTTTTCCGTATTTCTATGGACGCCCGTCTTCGTCGAGTAAACAAGGAGATTGCTGGTCAGTGCGTTAGTCTCCCGCCGAACCAGCATGCTGACCATTACCACTCAAGATTGCAAGAACGACAAGACCTCCAATATCAGGATCGAACTCATCGATGAATCGCCATTTCATCTAAAAGGGTCGTTCCCAGGTCCTGATGGCACGCCATACGAAGGCGGGCACTTTGAAGTTGTGAGTTCACAGTAATCACCTGCATCAGCATTCTCAGACTTGGCATGTTTCGCCACCCCAAAAGGACATTGTGATTCCCGAATCGTACCCCTTCCAGCCTGTGAAGATGAAATTCATAACCAAGGTGTATCATCCGAATATCTCGTCGGCCTCTGGAGCAATTTGTCTCGACATTCTTAAAGACGCCTGGTCGCCTGTCCTCACCTTGAAATCTACCTTGATATCGCTCCAAAGCCTTCTCTGCTCACCGGAACCAAATGATCCACAGGACGCTGAAGTCGCAAAGCATTACTCCACGAGCAAATCTAGCTTCGAGGACACCGCGATATATTGGACGCAAATTTACGCAGGCGGGCCAGGCCCTAAGGAGAAGAAAGGAAAGGGCTCGAGTAGATCGGATGTAAGGGATGAAGTGGCGATTGCGGGGCTTGAGAAAGCACACGTTGACCAGTTTGAAGCTCTCGGTTTCCAGAGAAGCAAAGTTGTACGTTCGACCCTCACCGTTAACGTTAGGACCTCAACTCAATTTTTGTTTTTGTGGCAGATTGACGTTCTCCGACGGCTGAACTACCGTGGAGCTAACGTGGCTCAGATTACAGATGACAGGGTTGTAGAAGAACTGTTGAAATGATCATCTTCGTTTTGAGATTTCTTTTCTGCAGTCTTACATGACCACGCAACTTTGCGAACGTTTTCGATCTGTTTCGGCTTCCCTCGCAAGGTCGTTGAAAAATTCTGGTGATTAAAGCCTTGCGGCCTCAACGCCCGTTCCCTTTTCGGTCCTCTTGAGTAATTTGCGGAGTTGTGTCTCAAGAAAGAAAGTCAACAGGTCCTTCAAGCTGCCTTGTGGCCTTCGCTGAGTTCAGAATTTACTCCGAGTGTCATTTCTCTTTGAAAGGGAAGCACAACACGCTGCAGCATGGCATTCGAGCCGAGGCCTCGTCTCAAGTTCTCCCCACTCCCCATGATGCCGTGATAACTTACTAAAATTCATAGACGCTTATGCTGTATTATGTTGTTCGGCTGGCTGACTCTCCGAGTCCTGCACCGGCAAGAGCGAGGAGATCTGTCCAACTGATTGTCCATGACCAGGATAAGGCACACAGATCATGCCCAAGGTTTGAAAACGCGGCTGGCTGACCGGTGACGTGAGTCCGTAGACTCTCAATGCCGTAGTTGACCAGAGTAGAATTGCCGCCAAACGAAAGTCGTGCTGATACGCATGGTTTACCGCCAGGCCAGGCCAGTATTCGGACCTGAAGATACGAGTTTTGGAAGTGCTTGTTCGACAACGCAGCAGCCGGAGCCGTCGCGCAATTACCTTTCTAAAATCAAGGCCTCTCCATGTTTCCGATTCATATCGGGGTCCGTTATTTGCTTGAAACGCTGGTGAGCAATTTTTCAGTCTTATCTACCTTTCATGAAATCGGAACGAAAAAATCTCACCAGGGAAGATCCCGTTAGCCAAAAAGAGACGGCTGTACTGCTTACGGGTAGGTATAGACAGACTTTCCAGAACTTTGGCCCCCGTCCGTCACCGTAAATTTGCAGATTTAAAATCGGGCGCGAAGATTGCCGTCATCAAAGGACAATTCCAACAAGTCGTCGTAAGTGCAGGTTTGCATAGGATGGGATTAGAAAGCCAAAGTTGGTCCCTGGGAGTCTGCATGCAATTCGTGGATTTGAGCGAATTTTCTGTCAGTCAGGTAGGTAGGAGCTGTCGGGGAATCCTAGAAATATGTGGAGGCCGATTCTTGATGATTTTCGAGGTCCAACCCGTCGGGTAAAAACGTCCAAGGTCTTTGTAGTCAATTGGTAAGCCTCTTCAACACGACGCTGTCTTGGCAAGGCGAGAACGATCAGTAGGATGCTACCCGATCCAAAAGGTAGCGGCTGGGAGATAGTACTTGCGCCGTCTGGTAAACTTGTGCTGTTAACTCGCCTGACCCGGTAGACCGGCGAGCTGAGGCTCTCAACCTAAAATTGTACAACGCGGTCGCCGGGGCAGCTACAAACTCGCAGTATTGTGGTCTTCAGAACGATATGGCTCTGATGTCAGGTGGAGCAATCATCAAGGCCGTCCAAGCAAGAATCTCACCAGGGCAGATTCTGTCCATATAGAGAGATGCGTGGGTCCAGTTGCCAGCTTGCCACATGATAGGGACTCACTTCCGGGTTCCCAGAGGTAAATGGAGTCGAGATTAGATAACACACCGTGAGGTTGTGAATATGCTTCGCCCACTCCAGTTGAAGACTGAGACGAACCACCGGTGTTCGACATCAACAGCATACACCTATGTGACTAGCTAGATGTCACCCTAAGATGTGGCAGTGGGGAGACTGTCTTTCGGAGGTAGGAAGAGTTGGAAACTCGGCGGTTCCAGTGCCAATCCCCCAAGGAAAAACTCGCAGGTATCCGAGGATTGGAGTTGACAGCAGTGATTTCATCTTGAAGAGGACGCAAAACCTGCTGGAATGGTCGGTCGAACTTCGGTCGGCGGGGCGGCCCCAGCCCGGAGCCGTTGATTACTTTTTATTGGTTGCACCTGAGAACAGCTGGTAGATGAGGAAGAAGGTACTAAGGAGTGGAGTAATTGATGTATGAAATGCTATGGTATCGATATCGACTAAAGAACAGCATGGCCAAGATGTGAAGACGAGGATTCGCATCAGAAAGTTTCCTCCTCGTCGACGGCAGTTCCTTCAGGAACTTCAAAGCCCTCCTGTCGCAGCGAAAGAATGGAGAGTCGGGCGACATTCAAGGGAGAGGAACGTTGGCGCTCACCTCGGTCGAGTAGAGAATCTTTTGGATGTCCTTCAACGTCGCGTCGTCAGGCTTCCCTTCGGCTTCTAGGGCCTCCACCTGTTGCTGGACGAGGATCTCGATATCTCGTAGCTGAAGGGCTAGTTAAAAACAATAGGAAACGAACGACGTTGGAGGCGTACCTTCTCAAAGTAAAAATCCCGCTCCTTCTCGAGCCCTTCTAGATGCGTCGACATTTCCTTCAGCTGCGCCTGGAGTGCCTGTACGGCCTCGTTTGGTTGGGCAGAACCGGATCGGTAACCGCTAACGGGTGTCCTCCCACCGGCCCTACCAGCAGCGGCAGCCAGTCCGGGGTTTGTAGTGCTCCTTGAGGTGGCGATGGGGGCGACAGTGGCGGGTGCCTCCAAGGCTACGCCCTTCCGTCGGGCGACTGCATCATACCCTTGACCGCCGTAATTTTGGTCCCAAAACCGTTTCATCCATTGGAGGAATTCGAGGTTATCCCTGGCCTGAGGTGAGTAGGTGTGCAGGGTGGGGTGACGCGTGCTTACTGCATTTTGCATTTTACCAGCTTCTCTACGGGGATTGGCTGGGACATTCTGGTCAACAATGAATGCAGAAAACGATAGTGCCACGGACCTTGTCGATCTTCTTTGCCTTGAATACGTTCTGCATGACTTTGTAGTTCGCTACGTATTCGTATTCGTGTTTCGCGTTCATTTTGACTCTGATCATAGGTAGATCGCCTAGATCCACAACAGAGAGAGGCAATAGACGTCAGCAAAGCACCTCGGTGCACGCGATTGGGGTACTTTACCGTAGATTGAGTCGAGAATTTGGCAGTACGCGCCTCCGCTGCCACATTGCTCGACTTTGGTGTAGTTGATTTGCAAGAGCTCGTTGAGCCACTGCAACAAATCAGTTCTAGAGGCCGTCATCGTCGTCTATGGAGGCTGGAGATGCGGTGTACGTTGGGGGAGGTTGCAAACTCGTTCGACGCCAACGTCGCTGGCGAGTTAATTTAACCGATTTGGTCATCGGTGGTATTTTAATTATTAAAAAAAGGCCACTCTAACCTAAACCCCAGCGTGCACAAAGGTGAACTTGGTTCACACATGAATATCTGAATGCTTGTTTACTTTTTATTTGAACACCTCGACGTACCAATCATTACTAGAGCAATCAGTAACCCCACAAAACTCATCTCTTGGCTCAGAACACAGCGCAAGAAACATGCCACTCACTCAGGCTCTCTCCCCCGAACTTTGCGCAAAAATTGTCCAATGGTCCAGCTCGAAACGCTCAGATTTAGCCGCTCTTTGCTTGACTTCCAAAGCCTTCCAACGCGAAGCCGAAGTAAAGCTGTATGCAAACCTCAATTTCAGCATTACCACGCAAGCACACATGGCCTGCCGAACCCTAATCGCACAGGATCGCCTCGCCAGTCTTGTAAAACTTTTCTGGTTTAACCAGGACAATAGACGCACACCAACAATATTAGGCCCCGCGTTCTGGGAGGTCATCCACGGGGCGCTCACCAAGATGCGAAACCTCGAGAACTTGCTGTTATTTGATCACGGATACTCCAACACGTGGATCTTTGATCCCACACAGATCCAGTTCCAACTTGTGGAGGCGAAACTTCGTTTTGCCTGGGATATGAATGTCGCTAGGTTCTTGGAAAGCCAGAAGAGGCTCCGGGTGTTCCATCTGTACGACCAGATGGAGGAAATAGGCGCTGAGATCAATCCCGCGCGCTTGCCCCCGCTGAATGTCCTGGATGCGGCTTTGATGATTGGAATCCAGTTTCTTTCTTGCCCCCTCACCCATCTACAACTGGTCCTTGACAACGACATCCTTCCGTCTCTGTCTTTAGAGATTCTCGCTGGGCTTGCGCCCCTCAGCAAGACACTTCGTTCGCTCAACTTACTCGAAGTGCATGAGATTATGTCCACTAAAGCGCTCGAAATTGTAGCAAATTGCTGCCCTTTGCTCCGTCACATTGGGCATTTTCCTTTACCCATTGAAAATGTTAGTCTATTTCTCACTCGTGTTATCGGATGTAGCACTAACCTTCCGTTAACCATAGCGACATGAGTTTCACGCCTCCCTTTTGCGACTGCACTACCTCCGCTCCATAGAGCTTGACGTTACTCGCTGGGTGCCTCAGCCCATTCTCACAAGCCAGCGAGCACTCGCGGCGGAAATCAAGACGTTTTGCCCTACGATTCGTGCTGTTGCATTTTGGATGGGGACCACAAGATTCAAATGGACCTACTCGGGCGAAGCCTGGAGTCAGCGCACGGACACTCATCAACATCCTCAATATACATTCGTTTGGACATCTGCTTGAGTGACATTTTTTTGAGGGTGAGTTTCTCAATACCTGTACATTTATGTTACTGATCAGTGCAAATCCAGATATTTGTGTAAGGGTAACTGAATCATGTACTTTAAGATAAGGAATCATGGTGCTATCGGCGATCGCGTGCACACGCAATGACATGGTGATCAGGAGCGCACAAAAGGCAAGTCCTGAGGTCTTAACCGCCACCAAAAATTGGCTGCGCAAATTGGCACGCCACAAAATTTACTCCCGAGGAAATAAAAAAAATTGGAGGGTGACGACAGCACAAGTACTAGCGCTTCAAGGCGAATGGTGGTTATATGTATTTACAACACGTCACTTCAATATAATCAATCAGAGGATGGTAAGTATGCATTCTATATTGATATAAAGACGTTTCTAGGTCTTCTTGAGATCGCCACAGTTCATTCTGATTATTGTACAATATTCATTAACTTACAAAAACACAGCCCTAAGTCCTCTCCGTGTAGTGGTCAATCATGAGGAGGAGTGGACCCTTCATCAGACCTAGTCCAGAATACCAATTTCTGCCAGATGGCAGCTACCTTGGTCGGCCTCCGCTATATGCATCCGACGTCGTCACCAACAGCAAGACGTATTAAACTCGGTATCTCATCGACTCGAGAAGGGAAGGGACGCTGTTATTTTGAATGTAAATGAAGCTTTTGGTTGGCTTTTGGAGTTTACATGACAAGTAAACAATTATTGGTCAAACAGCCTATCGTTCTGAAGCCAGTTGTAAGTGATCTCTGTTTTTTCTGCGGCCTCTGTGCCAACTCTGTGCGGCACTTTATTTGCTTTGGTCGGTGTTGAATAACTGGACCCTTTCGAGTTTGACTTTGATCCGAGATATGATCCGAACACATCTCAGACACAACGCTTGTTGAACTTCAGAACTTGTGTTGAACGCTCGCTCCTTTCCTCTTCAAAGATGTCAACGACTCTCAGTGACCGCATCACTGCTGTCGGAAACGTTATCTTGAAGGAAAGGCCTTTTTGCACTGGAACTTGTTCGCTCACTAAAGACGCGGGACTTCTTTTCTTCCGCAAAGGCGACGCTGCAGGGTGAGCCCACTCCGATTTCCAGGAAATTTTTTTTCATGCTTTGCTGTTAGATGGGTCGATCTTGCTGACCCTAGCGATACAAAGCTTCAAGAGTTGTTAGAATCCTGCGACCAAGCTCCTGTTTCCAACGGCTCATCTCCAAACGCGTGGAAGATGGACAACTCCAAATTTTCAACTCGCCTCGACGCCAGACTCGTTGATGCTGGGGTCATGGAGCATGTGACCACTGAGCTCGTCAACCTCTGCAACAGTACTCCAGAGAAAATACGATCGGAACTGTTTCAGTTGAATGTCTATGGTCAGTAAAATTTGAGGTTGGCACTATGTTGCTGACTCATGCCCTTTTTCTTCAGGTCCTGGATCTTCTGTCGAGGCGCACAAAGGCGTGCCCAGCAACGGGATGTTCGGATCTCTCGTCGTATTTTTTCCCACTCGCCATGAAGGTGGTGTAGTCCACATCCGTCATAAGGGCAAGGAATGGTCCTTTGATCCCGCAGCAATCACCGCCGCTCAAGAAAGTCCCTCAATTGCCTTCATTGCGCTCGACTCTGATGCTGAACGTGAAATCACTGTGGTTAATTCCGGCTATTGTGTTACAATAACCTACAACCTATATTTCGACGATAGCGACATATCTGCCACCCCTCAGAAAGGTATCGATGAAGGAGAGGCTCTTCATAAATGCCTCTCCGCCTTACTTGACAATGCTGAATTCCTGCCAGACGGCGGCTATCTTGGCTTCGGTCTCCGCTATATATACCCCGTCACCATCAACAACAATGAGTCTTATAGCCTTCGCAAGGTGATTAAATCCTTGAAAGGAAGGGACGCTGTTATAAAACGGGTTTTGGAGCAGCTTGGTCTTTCTCCCAAGCTTAAGATCCTTTACGAAGTCGAAGAGGATTGCTCAGCTTTTCTAGTTATGCTGGACAGCGTAGATTCATTTCCGGAAGATCAAACCAACTGCATTCCAACTCTCAGAGAAGCCCTTCCTGGGTCTCCAAGTGCGGTGGTTCTCCGCGAGACGGATGAGGATACTGATGCAACTGATTGCTACGGAGGCATAATCCCATCCAAGAGGATTCACTGGGTTACACCAAGGCTGACAAGCTTCACTCATATCATGTCACAGTACATCACATGCGGATACGGAGACGAGGTGTCGCTTCGATACGCCTCTGGAGACATCTGCCTTGTGGTTGAGATCCCTGTTACAGGGAAGAGGCTAAAAAGAAAGAGAGGTGGGAGAAAAAGCGGGGGCAACTGAGCATCTCCCTCAGCGGGCAGACATGGATGTCCACCGCAAAATTGTCCGTAGCACTTGAAGGTTTTCATTCTTTGCGAGGCAAGCGTATATTATAAATGTACCGATCATTGTCTCGTAAAAAAAAAGTAAAGGATACCACATAAAGACGATACCCTTCCTTCAGGCTACAGTTAGAGAATCAAAGCCAGATTGAGGGACCTGTTTGAAAATAGTTGAAGACACCGTCCTTGGCTTGATGTACTAATCACGAGCTCGGTGGCCACATACTCGATGATCCCACCATCAGCGAGATCGAGACGTGTTGCAACATTGGAGGCATCGATCTCCCAAGCCTTGGGAATGTTCCGTCAAGGGTAGGATCTAACAAGCTCTAGCGAGGTATTGCGTCGGTCGCATCCGCTAGATTGACCCATCTAGCATTATACGTCTTTCATTTTTTGGAAAAGAGTTGGAAGAATAATAGGCTAGACTCACCCTGCAGCGTCGCCTTTACGGAAAAAGAGAAGTCCCGCGTTGTTGGGTTAGAGAACGCGTTTCATTTCAGTGCAAAATTACTTCTTCGGAATTGTATTTCCTGAGGCACCAAGGGGAATAAGTCAGAGTGGAAGTTGACATCTTCAAGTTTTTCCAAAAAGCATAAATTAAAGGGAAGTATGAGTATCTTAGCACAATCTTCGTGAGACTCACTGAGTAGCAGGGAATCGCCACGGATCTTGACGGTTTTTGCAATGTGACTATCGCGACCTGCTTCAAGTTGTTGTGTTTCCGACGACCAAATGTAAACGCAAAAACAATCAATAGAGCGTAGGCTCGTATCGACCTTTAGAGCCGTCGCGTTCAACGCGGGTCGTTCTGCCCCACAAAACTACACGATTCACCAACATCAGTACAAAAGATACAGGGAAGAGTCGCGAAATTGAGGCTTACCCGATGATACTGATATGCTACCAGGTACTTAGGCTGAATTCCAAGCTGATCAATGTGAAACGTTGGTTGAGTCAGGGGATGCAAATTTGTTAAGGTTTTAAAAACGTACACTTTCTTGCGTCTGAGGGCCTTGTATAAATCCGAGGACAAGTCGGTAGAACGTTTCCGAAAGCCCACTTCTCGACGTATCTTGCAATTAGCAACCCGCAAAAACAAGCCAGGTAACATATAATATTTGAGGCTCTACTTACGCAATGCGCGTCCGTCACTAAAGTCCCTTGAAATCAAATAAGTATAAGCTCTAAGAATATCTTTTGCGCACGAAAAAACTCATTACTCAAATAAACGGTCATCCCGTCAACGCAACCTTCTCCCCAATCGGCCATTTCTCCTCCTCCTCCAGCCCCACCACCACCCTTTCCTTTTCCTTTTCCCTCTCCTCCCTTACAGTCCCCCTCGCCCCCGGCGGCCCAACCCTAACAACCAAACACACATCACCCCTCGCATACCCCAACCCAACCCCACTCCCTCCCTCACCGGCACCCCCCACACCCTCCATCAAATACGGGCTCGAAAATCGCGCACGGCTCGTCAAAGGCCTCACCCACAACACCTCCGTCGAATCCACCCTTCGCCCTTTATCACCCTTCTCCATCCACTTAAACCTCTCCTCCAACTCCTCCGTCCCATAATCCCTTATCACCTTCCCGCCCAGCCGGACCAATACGTCTTTCAGCCCGTTTTCTAGGTACGTACCCTCGAATGATCGGGGCGCGGATAGGAGGACGTTGTATTTGTACCCGCTGAACCGGCGTTGTGCCGAAAACACTGCTTTTAGTGTGGTTTTTATGGAGAGGTGGGTGTGGCAGGTACGGTGGATTAGCGCGTCGGTGCCCTGCAGGGAGGAGAGGAGGCCGCGGAGGTTGGGTGTTCCGGGTGTTATGGTGTAGTGGTGCTGGAGGCCGAATCCTAGCAGGCCGCCGTGGGGCATGAATGTCGCGTCGTCAAGGAGGGTTTGAAGGGCTGTTTGGAGGGCTGTTTCTTCGAGGTTTGGAGTTGAGAGGGGATGAGTTGGTGAGGAGTGTTCGGGGGTTAGGGAGAGGTGGTACGTCAGCGAGACGCGGTGCCCTAATTGGATGGGCGCAAGCTCAGGCTCCAGGTCGTTCGTGAAAGCGATATATGCTATTGATGGGGTTGTTGACGCGCATATAGCCGCTGCAGAATCGAACGTCCATTCCTCGGCTCCACGACGGAGGTGAAGGGAACCCCCTACATACAGTGTGGGAAACACGACGATGAGTGTCGCGAGGACGTTTTTGTCGCGTATCGTAATTCTGGAGGGTTCAGAACACGATGTCGGGCCTGGTGGAAGTCAACGTCAATGAAATGGAAGCGAGCAGAGCAATTGTATTACCGTGTACATCCAACTGCTGCAGCTCTACCTTCACCCTCCCCCTCTCCTCATCGTCACAGAAGAGGTTCGTCCGAATGTATTCCAAGATATCCGTAGCATGCACATCAAACGACGGCGAGAACCTTGTTCTCTCCATCGTCCCACACTCATCACACGCTTTCACAAGCATCTCAAGCTGCAGGTGACTAACATCTGCCAAGTCTAGCCAACTACCGTCGTCAGCTCGCTGAGTGGAACAGCAACAATGACCCAGAACGTACTTGGCTCCGGTACCCTCTAAGTCTCGATAGAACAACGCTCGAGAATGGGATGCGAGAGGCGCTGTTCCGGTGCAGAAGAGGGCGGTGTTCGTGAGTGCAGCGCGCAGGGTGGTTAGCTTGTCGTTGGTCGTCGACGAGGACATTGTGGTTGGGAACAACTGCACAACAACTGCACTTTCCCGGACCGGCACGCCGTATTACGGCCGGCGATTCAAGGCATTCCTAAACGCAGGCAATTAAAGGCAGGAGGCTCCTGGTGCTTGGGATGAATGAGTCCTGGATGCCTTCGAGGCGCCACATACCCATGGCTCAACTCTGAGGGAACCGAGACGGAAGAACTTGCGAAAGCGGAGTCGACTTTGTTGCCGTCAAAGGTCCCGAGGTGCCATGTCCGATTTTGTACAAGTTTCCCCAGGCTCATCGTCATTTTGCAGCGTTTTAGATAAATTTATGGGTGAATCGCAAAAAGCTGTCCGGGAGATATTCAGGAAAGCACGCGCGGCTTTTCCTTCAATAATTTTTTCGTAAATATTCCTTCTTGACACTATGCTTCATCGGGCTAAGGAAAATATTGTGGATGCCAGTGAGGTCTTCCTCAGATGCCAACACCAACTCCTCACATGAAGGCGTGCTGACTAGTTTATTGTACGAAATGAACGGCGTTCGGGGATTTGTGGGCGTCACCGTCGTCGCAGCGACCAACCGTCCCGAAGCTATAGTGGAACCCAGCATTCCTAATGATTTATTTGATGATAAGATTCTGCGCTGATGCGCCCCGGAAGACTTGATCGCATCTATACGTCGATCCACCTGATCAAGAAGCGAGAGAGTGTAGAGATTTACAAGAATATAACTACAGCATATGTTTTTTTAGGCTCAGATCGCGACGAGATAATTTATTTCAAGTCTTGACGGTGGTTGAATAAAACAGGGGTAGGAAGGAATGGACGATGGACACACGTGGGAGGGTTAAATAATATGTAAAGAATGATACAAACTAAAAATGCAAGCTCAGTGCCCCGAGAATGATTATCCATCCAGTATACATACGACGTTAGCCAAAGGTAAACTGCGTAGAAATGCGAGTTGGAGGTGCGTGGATTGGAACCTTCAAAATAATATGTCAGAAAAAAAAATCACAACGACGCTCATATAACTGTCAAACCCCGAGATCAATTGGTCAGAAGTTGAAGAAAAAACGAGCAAGCAAGGCCATGATGCCTGCTAGAAAGGAAAACATAAGCTTACAAAAAAAGAACGCGAGGAACATGCTCACCGGAGTTGAAGCGTCTGCATCTTGAATACCCAGTTCAAAAACAGAAAGAACCAACCGCCGCTTCACCGTTGTCAGCGGTGCCACGTCCGGTGAGACGATGCCTGAGACCTTCGAGGAAGGCCCCCAACAATCATCCAGGTGTGCAATCACGCATCTGCCTGCCCACGCCCCCGTGTAGGAGCGGCTTTCCACACCCGGATAACACCAGTACCCAGGATGCTTTAGGACATGTGTGGCGCAGCGATTGGTTGTTCTGCAAGTGAAAGGGTACCCGCCGAGTGTATTGTGCTTGTGAAAAGATGAGCTGGTGGTCCCAAAGGATGCTCGTGAGGTGGCTGACAAAATAATGGAAGGATAGAGCTTACAAAAAGCGCATGAGCCTGCGCAATTAAAAACGCCAGGCTCAGAAAGAAGAATCGCTGTGGGAAAGACGCCACTGAAGGATAGATATTAAGGCGATGCCCGAAGCAAAAAGGATTTACGACTCACCAATAATCAAATGCGCCGTGTGTCGACGAGGTTCAACCCGCCACAAGAAAGACAAAGCCACTTATGCACCATGTTGAAACCAAGTCAACCTTCATCCAGTGTCAGTCCTGGCAGATGGTGTGTCACTCCGGCCCCCCTGACGGGAGGGGCCACGCCAACACCCCGATACCTGGATCGATTACACACCCAGGCAAGGGATGCGGCTACTTTACTACGCTTAGGCTCATGGCCACCACGCAATAGGAGATGTGACCGTGGCGATACCTGACTTGGAGACGGGAATGGATGATTCGCCTAGAAATAGGCTGCGGTGGTGCCAGTGTTCGGGTCGATGATGTTGTTGAGTTGGCGAGCTAACTTAGAGATCGTGAGGCGTTGGGCGTGGCTGGCTGGCTTAGACAATTAGCGTGCGTGGAAGTGAACAAGATGCGTGGCGTACTGGTACTTAGCAGGCGTGAGGAGTGGCTCAAGCAGGTGAACATCGCAAAGGCGAGATCATTGATGAGATAGAATGAAAATAGTGAGGTCGTTGAATAGAAGGCACTAAGAATCAAGGCGGGAGCCGCTAGTAAAGGGGGTGGTGGTAGTGGGTTTGACCTGAGCTATGGTCAGTTTGTTCAACAGCTTTAAAGTTTATTTATAGCCGTGAGCGTATTTGGTCGGGTGTGGACGAGCTTGGGTCGCCAAACATACGCCTTCTCTTTGAATTTGCGTTGGGCATCGGTTGCCCTCACCTTGTTTGCAACCCTCTAATAGGAGCGCAGAGCTTCGAACATTGCCTATCACCTAAATGCTCAATGGAAATGGGTAACCTGGTATCAATAAAGCTCCGGGAAGAAGACTCAACAAGTTATAAAACCAAGCTTCAAGTTGGGTGCGCTTGAATGCCATTGTATCGCATATTTCTGATTATGCATCTACAGACGGAGATATTCTCGAGAAACACGCACAAAAATCGAACCACAAGCAGTGGGTGAAGATAATTTGAACCATAAGGTTACGAGAAACGAAACAAGCCGGATGCTGGATGGAGTGGTTAGGAGAACTTGGACTGGCGCCAGCGGTGCGCGTGCCTGCCAAATGTCGGGTGGTCGAAAGCAAGTCGAAAGAGTGCTACTGTGTAGTCTGGAAGAACTTAGAAGGTGTCAGTGAAAGGGGTGTCATCGGTGATAGCCGGCGCGGTTGAGGCACCAGGAGGAAGCGCCCACCAGCTGTTGCGACCTACGACCTCACCATGGCCACTGCTGATGGAGCGCGCAAAGTTGAGAACACCGCTGGCCAAGCTTCTCTGGATGGGCAGGGAGGAACTGAGCCAGTAAGTGTTGTGTCAAGAGTCTCAGCACTTTTGATCTTGAATTCGAATAAATTAGGCAGCTCAAACGAGAAGCGAACACCGTAATAGTGCGTACTCTTCGTCATATACATCGTCTATTTCACATAATACGCACAGTATACTATCGGTTATATACCAAAGAAGGCCGACTCGAATCAAACAACCCGATCTTCTCCAACGATCGCTTCATCAGTCGCATCTCGTCTAAATCAGTGAGACCCCCTCACACAGCCGCCTCGCTGAAGAGGTACGTCTGCAAGGTTGAAGGCATGGAAGGCTCGGAAAAGGGCGCTTTGTATCTGTCGCTGTCAGAAAAAAAGCCTTTGAACGACTCTGCTCGTCTTGCGCTCCGATGGAACTCTGGGCCAGGATCATCTGAGTTTGACCCTGTAGTTCTCGTTGTTGATAAGGGCGCCCTTGAGAAGAGACCCAAATCTGCGAGTAATGCAGGCTCGAATGAATTACCCGCATGGGAGATTGAAGAACGCTTTGGTGCGCCTTGTGCTTTTGTTCTCAATAACGCTCAAACTCACGCTCGCCAGTGTATTACCGACTTTACGACGATGACGGCGAAGCTGTCTCAAAGACGTCGTTTGACGAAAGCGACTCTTCTTTGGGTCGCATCGACATATATACCATCCCAGTACCGCACACAGTCGCTTCCTTGAAATATTGCCTTGTTCATGTAGAAGGGGTCTCAGGTCACGATGTTCAGTTGCTTGAAAATGAGGATGCAGAGACTACCTTAAACGACGGCGATGCCATTGCCATTCTCACTGATGATTTTCCAGGCTCAAAAGATGATCAGCCAATAGTGTTTACATATGCACGGGATGCTTCTGGTAAAACTATGGCATCGGAGAACCCATCCTTTTCGAGACGTCTTACAGCCACCGCAAACTGGGGTGAGTGGTAATTGTTATTAAGGAATACCGTGTTGCCTCTCATATTGTTTAGCCGGCGCGATGTTGAATGACGGGTTGCACTCAATGGTGATCGGAGAGATCTTTCAAACAGATGGAATTCTCATGAGCAAGTCGTTCCAGCATGGTGGTGCCATTCGTATATCTGTCTGTCTGTGGCATTTTTGTTGTTACTGATCTTTCCGGGATAGAATATGCAGGCTATGTTGGAATCAATAGTGCTGGAAAGCAAGCTTGTACGTTCTTATTGAAACCCTTGGTTTGAGGGCGGAACTTGCTTTCTTATATGACTTTTTTTTTTTTCAGTTGTTCCCTCAGGTGAGTTCTTACCTTGTCTACCGATTAATGCCATGGTTAGTGTAGCCCCTAGCGTTTGTGAAATTATCGTGACACTTCCTTGCAATGCCTGTTCTTTTTTTCGATGTATATTCCAGTCTTTTGAAATGATTAAAAAGTTCCAAAGGCTGACCTTGAAAAGAAATAAAATCAGCGCCTGAATTAAAGGTGTTTGCGGAGCGTAAAAGCTTCAAGCGAGGATGCAAATTTGGGGGAAAAAAACAGAGCCCGGCGGATTTGATTTTTCTTTCCAACTTGCAATAGATATTTCGCATAATGAGGACAACGAGTTTCATTTATTTCGACGTTAAAGTGAGTTCAAGGGACAAACTAAAAAGAAAATTCTACGAATAAGGAAGGTGAGGGCAGTGACCGGGTGGAAAAGAAAGCGAGAGACTTGTGAGAAGGAATAGAAGAAACAGACATGCAGGACGTTGCGACTGTCAATTTAGTGAAAATGAAGACTCAGAGGCAACGTCAACTCACAAAGCACGTATACTGGAAACATGAGCTGAGGTCCCGAAGATTAACTCCCTGTAAAAATAGCATCGCGTTGAAAGAAAGCCATGTGAAACGACTCACCAGAGTAAAAGCACCCCCATGCTGAGTACCCAGTTCAAAAGCAGAAACAACCAACCGCCGCTTCACCGTTGTCAGCGGTGCCACGTCCGGTGAGATGATGCCCGAGACCTTCAAAAAGGCCCCCAACAATCATCCAGGTGTGCAATCACGCATCTGCCTGCCCACGCCCCCGTGAAGGTGCGACTTTCCACACCCGGGTAACACCAGTACCCAGGATGCTTTAGGACATGTGTGGCGTGGGGATTGGTTGTTCTGCGAATGAAAGGGTACCCGCCGAGTGTATTGTGCTTGTGAAAAGATGAGCTGGTGATCCCGAAGGACGCTTGTGAGTTGACTGACAAAATAATGGAAGGACAGAGCTTACAACAAGCGCATGAGCCCGCCCAATGTAACGCCACGCTCAAAGAAAAAATCGCCGTCGTATGGACGCTGCTGGACATAAATTGTAAAGCAACAGAGGAAAGTCAATACTTGAATGCGCCGCGCATCGACGAGGCCAAACCCGCCGCAAGAAAGACAAAGCCACTTATGCACCATGTTGAAACCAAGTCAACCTTCATCCAGTGGCAGTCCTGGCAGATGGTGTGTCACTCCGGCCCCCCTGACGGGAGGGGCCACGCCAACACCCCAATACCTGGATCGATTACACACCCAGGCAAGGGACGCGGCTACTTTACTACGCTTAGGCTCGAGGCCACCCACGCAATAGGAGATGTGACCGTGGCGATATCTGAGTTGGAGACGGGAATGGATGGCTCGCCTAGATTGTAATGCGCTGAGCGTTATGTCGGAGGAAGCGATGATGGTGCTGCGGCGAGGTTACGTAGAGACTATCAAAAGCCTTGAGTGGCTGACATGAGGAATTAGCGTGAGTGGAAGTTGGCGAGATGGTGTATCTTACTAGGCGTGAGCGGTGGCACGAAAAGGCGAACATCGGAAAGACGTTGTAATGCGCTGAGGGCTTGAAAGCTTGAATGTCCAGGTAAGCGATGATGTTGCGGCGGCGGGATTGCATAGAGGCCATCGAAATCGCATAGCGTTAAGCGTGAGTGGCTGACATAAAGAATTAGCGTGGGTGGAAGCTGGCGAGATAGTGTGGCTTACTAGGTGTGAGCAGCGGCGTGAAAAGTCGGAGACGAAGATCTGAAAGGCGAGATAGATAAGGCGATACAAGCAAGACGAGAACCGGTCAGGAGAAGCGCTGGTAGTGGTTTGAATCTGAGCGACGAATTGAAGCGAATTGAGAGCTCCAGTACAGCTTATTTATAGCCGCGTGTGTATTTGGTACGCGCCTATTTAGTATTACGTAACCAACCACGATTACGATTACGCAGTCAACGCGCTTTGTACCCACTCACCACCATGTCCAACGACGCCCCCGCCCCAGAGATCCAAATCAACGTTAAAGGTGCGTTTGTTGCGCCCCCATTCTACGTGGGAAACTGATGATGTTGACGACGGCCTAGGTCCGAGCGAGCTGAAGCTCCAGATCTCGATAACGACAGACAAGTCGGTGTTGGAGCTCAAACAGGCCATCGCTGAGAAATCGGATGTGGGTGCTGATAGACAAAGATTGATTTATTCCGGTTAGTCTCATGTTCTTGTTTTGCTAGTTTCTTTACGTACTAACTTACCCCTTACGAAGGACGAGTGCTCAAAGTGCGTTCTCCGTCTCTCACATTATCTTCACAAAGCATACTTATACCAAACCACAGGACGAAGACCCGTTATCGACGTACAAAATTCAATCCTCGCACACCATCCACATGGTCAAAGGCATCGCTCGCTCCAGTGGTGGCGCTTCCAACTCTTCCTCTCCCACCTCCAACTCGACGCCACAGCCCTTGCCAACGATGCAAACGGGGCAAAACCCACACGACCCACTTACACAGCTGAACAGCCATATGGGGTTCGGTGCGATGGCGGGGCTGAATCCGTTTGGTGACATGGGGTTGAATCCGAATGACCCGAATATGGTGTGTGTTTTTGCGCTCGACTCTGTTTTCTTATATTCATACTGACTGATTGCGCATTGTAGATGCAAACGATCATGAACTCACCCGAGTTCCTCCAGCAAATGTCTACGATGTTGCAGAATCCGGCCATAGTCGATCAAGTTATCGCCATGAACCCAAATATGGCGGGGATGGGCGCTCATGTGAGGGAGACGTTGCAGAGTGAGCAGTTTAGGAATATGATGTGAGTTTTTCGTCGACTCGTTTTCTTTGATTTGTGCTCGGTCATTTTTTTTCTTTTGCATGCCCCTTCTTGCCGAGTACGCACTTGCTCGGGTTTGGAGGAATGTCATGGTTTGGCTTCCACTGTGTAGCCTATTTTTTCCCCCTTTGCACCCCTCCTTTTGATTCTCCTTCCCCCTTCCACCCTCCCCATGTCCTACTTTCCCTTACTAACGCCCATTCCCAGATCAAACCCCGAACAACTCCAACAAATGATGCGCATGGCTCAGATGTTCAACGGTGCCGGAATGGGTGGAGGCATGGGCATGTTCGGCGCTCCTTCAGCACCTTTCCCCGCGCCTGGTACCCCCAATGCCAGCTCGACGACACCGAGCACTACAACGTCCAACACTACATCCCCGACGACGACAACGTCCCCAGCTGCCAATCCGTTTGGGATGTTCGGCGGAGCAGGGGGAGCAGGTGGGAATCCCTTCGCTGCCGACCCCGCTTTGATGCAGCAACTCCTGAGCGGTGGTGGGTTTGGGGGCGGCGCTGGTGGATTTGGTGGTGGGTACGGTGCGGGTGGGTTTGGGGGTGGTGGTGCCCCTGCCGTACCGACGGATACGCGGCCGCCTGAGGAGAGATTCCAAGTTCAGCTGCAGCAACTTCAGGATATGGGGTTCACGAATGCGGCGCAGAATGTAAGGGCGTTGCTTGCGACTGGGGGGCGTGTGGATTCTGCGATTGAGTATATCCTTGGTGGGGGTGGGTTGTAGACTTGTTCTTGGTGCTAGGGTGGGCAGAGCAGACGAGCGGACAGATGAATACGCTGTTATATTGATAGTATGGTGTGCAGCTCTGAACGCAAATGAACTTGTTTTCTTGTAAGATTTTGTAGGTACTAATTGTACGTATACATTATGGCCAATAACTCTGATCGACGCTTCTCACATCGGCCCATTTGCGCAGAACGAATGCTTCAGACACTTGGCCTTTGGCTTTAGCCCTCACCAATAATTGCAAGTAGCGCTCATTCAAATATTCAGGTCTCAGGTTGTGAGCAAGCTTAAGTCGTCCGTCATCTTCGCGATCGCTCTAACACCGATCTCAATATCAATGCATTCGAACTTTTCCAGACCACGAGAAGCTCTCTAATACAAAGTATCAGATTCTCAGGCCTGAAGCCCATCACTCCAGGTCTATCCAACGGGCCCCTACCCCATAGCCGTTCTCAATCCCAAGATAATGACCTTTTTTCTTTTTTTTTCTTCTGGCAAAGGGGCCTCGAAATATGCTATCTGTAGACAGGGCATTACCACGCTTCCTGAGGAGATTTTTCAAAAAAGGTTACACCCGTTCGATGCGGATTGTTAGCTGCTATCGAATGAGATAGTCCTTGAGTAGATAGGGCCACTTTTGATTGCATAGTTCAATTTGCGGTTATTTGTGAAATGTGCAAGCTTCCCAGGGCCTACTTTTCCTCATCTTATTACCATGCAAGCCAACGAAAGGGCAATGCAGCTCATGCTGCAGGTTAGTATGACTAGGTACGCATGTCCCTGTCGGTCGGGACTTTCAAGCTTCAGCTCTTTCTGCACAAAAAAACTTACGTCGTCACAGCCGGCAAGGCGACGAACTTTACAATCGGGGAAAGTACACAGAGGCGAAGAACACGTATTGGAAGATCGCGAAATCGGTGCTGGGAAACGATCTCGAAATTCCAACTTATTCAGGGAGTAAAGGCGGAGGGGTGCGGTGTAAGAAGTACATCGACATAGACCCTTTCAATCGGTCGAACTTGGTCGCGTGCTACAACGGTCTTGCGGCGTGTTGTGCGCGGGAGAAGGATTTCGAAAGTGTGCGTTTTTTTTTTTGATTCTTATACCTGTTAAATTTATCTCATCGAAACTATCAAACTCAGGCTCTGATGTGGTATGAAGAGATCGAGGTGGTCTACCTAAACATCTACTACACCTCCCCGACGCCATTATATGGTACGCGCCTCCCCTCCACCCAGATCTCTGTTCGGCCACACGCTCACCCACGCGATTATCAGACTGGATGAACTACAACCTCGACGTCCCAGAACTCACCTTCCAACGCGTCAAAGCCCTAACCACCTCCTCCGACCTCACGCTCCAACTGGGCAACACAGCCGTCGCATTCAACCTTCGCTGGAGGGCATGTACCAACTTTATCAGCATGCCCCCACGACACCATCCTCCGACCGTTAAAGCCATGAATAGCGCCGAGAAGATTGCTGAGCTGTCCGAACTTCGTCATCCAGATCCTCAGCTCATCAATAAAAGCGGTGTAACTGACCCGGCGCTGCAGTTGTATGGCTCGTGGGCGCGCGTTTCGTTCAAGCCTCTCCCGGGAAAGGTTTTGGCGAGGTCAGCCCATTCTGCGTTCATTTGGAAAAGTACGTGTAAACCGACGCGCCTCCATGGTTGACCTTAATGTATTTCAAGGCCACTTTTACATTGCCGGCGGACGCAAAGACTCTTTCGGACCTTTCTACCGCGATCTATGGTGCTTAGACCTAACTCAAAAACCCAGCTCTAGGGAATGGCGTCAACTCCCCGACTACCCTATCCCCAAATCTGTTTCGGGTATGTTCCTCAGCTGGAACATGATCGTGTACGAAAACAAAGCGTACCTCTTCACTGGACGGAAAGTCATCGACTACTTCGACCTCGTCACGGAGAAGTGGGGCAGGACGCCCACGACGTTCTCGCCTACAGCTGACGACCTCCGCGTGGGTCTTACAGGGGATTGGCCTTATAGAGGGTCAATCCTCGCAGATCGTCTCTGGAAAACTGCTCGTTTTCGGGGGATGTCATAAAGATACCAACCTCGGCATCAACCTGTTCATGGAGCTGGATTTGAAGACGAGGAAGTGGAGGAGGTTATCCGGGTACGCGTTGAGGCCCAAGGACGGGGATTATTCATGTCCCGGACCGAGGAAGAATGCTGCGAGTTGGGTGTCGAAGGACAAGACCAAGTTTTTCTTGCTTTATGGACATATTGATCGACAGGGGTGGCAATTGAGGAATGAGCCCCATGGAGAGGAAGAAGCGTTTTGTTTTCGTGATATGTGGAGCTGGGATTTGAGGGAGGAGAAGTGGCGCCCTGAACGGATTGCTGGGAATTATCCTTGTTCGAGGACGGAGATGGGTTTTACATATGTATGGCCCCCTTCTTTTTCTTTTTTTCCCTTCTTCTTCGAAATTACAAAAACTCACCTGCTTTTTTTCGACAGAACGAAAAGTTAGATAAAGCGGTGATTTTTGGCGGGTACAGCCCGTCAATGACAACAGTCTACCGCGAAAAAAGCATCTCTTTCCAATTCGCCTACCTCGCCGACA